AGGTGGCTGTTAGATGAGTCAGGCCTAATTTTATGACCTTTTTTGCCATGGTTTTTAAATGAATCACTACAGGATTCATATAGTCATTAAACAAGTCAGGCTTCCTCCATTGGTTATGCTTGTCAAAGCTTGCTGGGAGGGATACAGATGGCCATCTCATAATCCTTGGATCATGCGACCGTCATAAATACATGCCCAAATTTTGATCATTTGCTGTGATGATTATAAGTGCAAGGACCAGTTATAAGTCACTCTTTTCAGTGATGTTATAACTTTGAACAGTTGCTAAATGAATGATTGCAAGTTGAAGTCTACCTGTATTATGTATATCAATGATTATTGCTACTATTTTAAAGTAACTCAAAGAATATTGTCTTTTTAATATTTGTTTACAGGACTTCTTCATCCCTCAGTTGATAGGAAAGGAACTGTTTGAGATGTGGAACGTTGTAAACCCCATGGGCTTGCTGCTGGAAGAACTGGTCAAGAGGAATATAACTGCTCCAGAACCAAGGCTAACCAGGCAGTCAGGAGCTACCACTGCTTTGCCCTTGTTCTTTGTTGGGTTATATTGGTTAGTAAGATTTCAGGCTGATTCAGACTTGCTACTGTGTACTGAACGTGGACCCCTGTCTTACCGGTTATATGTATTTTATACATATTCTTGAATGGAATTCCATGTAGAAAATTAAACATGCATAAACTTAGCCAGTTTAGTTAGTGTTCATTGATAGGGAGCAAAATGCCTCCATGTCAGGATTGGACATTGATAAACATGCTGCATTCAGGTTGTCTTGGCACGTTGATCCTACAGGGTTTAGAATTCCAATTCCACTTCATATAAGTGATAATAAAATCTAAATTAGCTTTTCATATTCCCAGTTATTTTCAGTGTATGTTATAGCTTTAAAGAGTTATATATTGTTGTTGGTTTTTGTTCTCTAAAGAATAAGTACCAGTCACTGTTCCATTTCTAGCTTACATCTCTACAAGATAAGAGTGATTTCTGACATGAAGAGACATGTTTCTGAATTCTTCTATTTCAGAAGTGATGACTTTGCAGTTTGGTTCAGAAATCATGGAGCCATAACTTGCTCTTGTTAAACCACTAAAATTGCTTTTGAGCTATGTCTATGGGTTTTGAGCCTTTAAAGACAGTAGACTTCAATTATCTTCAACTTGTTTTTATCTTAGGCTTGTCTTTTTGTATTGCTTTTCATGGATTATTCTTTTTTGCCCTGAATTGTGGAGTAATTTTACAAATTCAGGTCTAGTTTGTGCATGGACAATTGCTTTTCTTGTGTTTTATAATTTTTGATTGTGCAATATGATTTATAAGCACACATTAATTCAAGGGAGTTAATTGCTTTGCATTGTTGGTAGTGGTACAAAGAATATTGATAGATCAGGAAAGGGAAAGATTAATTAATTTACTGATATTTGTCCTTTCCATGTAAAATCCAGATAATCTTTCTTAATATTTTGTTTTCTAGGACCAAAATCAGGATCTAATATTTCATCATTTATTAATTTTCACTTCAATATATTGCATACAATCACTACAGAAAAATATAATATAGATTTCTTAAAACAGAAATGCATAATAGTTTCAAAATCACTGTTTACTTGAAATTGGAATTTTTATATGCTATAAAATTAATTTTAAAAAAGAATAGTTTCAAAATCAGTTTATACGAAGATCAAATAATAGACTAAAATTGTTTTTCACGGTATTAGGTCATGCTTGCTAGTTTTATATTCCAGCTATTCGAGCTACCAGTTTTTCAATGTTTGCTTTACCATGAGGCTATGTGCTCTTTATACTAAGGCTTGCTCTTAGTTATTAAATAAACAGACTGTATGTTGCCTAATCTGATTGATGAGTTGCATAATCATAGACTTCATAAAAGTATTTCTTCTCTTTTCAGTGATAAGGAGCTTTTAGCTGAAGGTACTGGTGAAACAATATTAGCTGCTGAAGAAGAAGCTGCTCGTGTGGCCTTGCGGAAACTTTATGGCTTCACTGAGAACAGACAATCCTGGCATTACCCTTCTTTGAAATGTGAGAAGAAAGCTGAAAAAGCTATTAGCAGTAGTTAGGCAAAAAGTCAGGTCCATTTGCAACAATACTGCATTTCAGCAAGAACTTTTTTCTCTTCTGTTCCATTTATCTAAATTAAAATGCTTTGAATAAAAATGATCAAAGGATTCATAAGATAGCTGCATTCATTTTATTGTTGTGGAAAACTACTGTTCATTTCCTAATACTGTGACTATTTGCATTGTCAACCCAAAGGAATTATGTATTTCACATCTTGATGGAGAGCTAAAATTAAATTTATGACATCTTTATGATCACCCAAATTTGTGGCTGGGTATGTTTCTTTATCCAGGTTCAACTTCATGCATTTGTGTCTCAGTAATTTGAAATCTTTACCTAATTTCCATCAAAGTTTCTAATCTGTTAAATACATTTGCAAGGACTATGAGCATTTACTAGGAATTTCTCATGCGTAATCTCACTAGAACAAATAGTGATTGTACAATATCATATGTTCCAATTATGCATTCAAAAGATCCCCTGCACATATTTAGAAAGAAAGCTTTAAAAACATTCACCTATGTTTGAATATATTTCTATTTCAGCTCTCATTACAATGGAACACATATGTAGTCTTCAGACCTCTTGAATTTCCTCCTTAAAGTGACATCAACATCTGTTAGCTATAGAATAATTTCATATACCAATTACATGGGACTGAGGGAGAAAAGGACAGATTATGTGCAGTTACAAACCTAATGATTCTACTACATCTGCTCTTTATCAAGATATGGGAACTCTGCTGGAATGAAATAAATCATATTTCATTCCAGAAGAATGGAATACATATCACACTATAAATACATTTATAGAGATAAAAATACTGTATTTCAAGCCATATAGAATGTAATTATTTGATGTTCTAGATATATGCTTTGCATGATAAAACATACAATATCCCTTGCTGTACACACTGCTGATAATTCTCAAACTTAAAGCTCCAGCTCATTGAGAATGAGGCTGATGGACAATGTAACAATGTGTTTAGAAAGAGTCACAACACAATGATAAAACACAGCTTTGCATGTGAAAGTCTACTTGCATGTTTAAAGGATTTTAGTACATAGCAAAGAAAAATGAAACCAGCTAGTTGAATAATATCTGGTAAAATGGTCTAAGAACTCGGAAATAATTCAAAGGATTTTTCAGTTGCTATTTAACCAGCAACATATGTACAACTCAGCCTCCAGAGCCAGACATTTACTTGAATAAATATAAAATAACCTTTGCTTTTGCAGAAACCAAGGCTTGTCCATGTTAGATCAACAAGAAATGGGAAAAGGAGGGAGTGGCAGCACAGCCAAAATAAAGTTGCTTTTTGTGTCTGTGAGCCACAATCCAACCAAGCAATAATGGTCATAAAAATAATATGTATTCACCTCTGATCTCATTGCTTCTGCAAATTGTTGACCCCTGATACATTAATATAAAACCAAGCAATAGTGCTAGGTGTACGACAGATTGGGTTCACGCGTGAAGTCACTTTATGGCATTTCCATTTAAAAAAATAATTCAAAATCAGATGGGAGGTGTCTAAATATGATTAATAAATTGCTGAAATATTGTTTACTGGATAAATTACACGTTTGCTGGATTCATATAGTAAATCATAAAAGTAGGGATCTATTGCTTTCCATCAAGGACCTGTATACTGCACAACTTCAAGTCAAAACGAGGTCTGTGAAAATATTTACAGACCCCTCACATCCTGGACATAAACTTTCAACTCCTATCCTCAAAATGATGCTATAAAGCACTGCACACCAGAACTAGACACAAGGACAGTTTTTTCCTTGAACGCCATCACTCTGCTAAACAATTCCCTCAATACTGTCCAACTATTTACAAAGTCTGTCTGCACTATTACTATTAATCTTATCACTTCCTTATCACCCATTCCCTCCCACTTGACTGTATGACTGTAACCTTGGTTGCTTGTACCTTACAATTTATATTGACTGTTTCCTAATATTATTTGATTGCTTGTTGTACCCTATGACTTATTAAGTGTTGTACCTTGTGATTCTTGACAAATGTAACTTTTATGTACACTGAGAGCATTTGCACCAAGACAAATTCCTTGTGTATCCAACCACACTTGGCCAATGAAGAATTCTATTCTATAAGGATAAAATGTTTTGGGAAGACACAAGCAAAATTGGGAAGGCCACTCCTCCCCCCTCGAGTTTTTAAGCAAGGGGTGTTCTGCAAGTTGTCTTGATTTGTAGAGCAATACTTACTTTCTGTACCTCGGAAGAGAAGCATGTTATAATATTGGTAAGGGATTATTGGGAAGCCGGGTGGAGCAGAAAAATGGGATTCGAGAGGCTCATCCAGCAACAGGTCGACGTTTAGAAATCTGTCTGGGTTTATCGACTATGACAAATCAAATTGACATAGCTGCCTCCACGTACAAGAGCCTTTAGGCTCCTGAAAATTATTTGCTGGGAAAAGCTACAGGGACTACCCAAGTAGTGCTTGCGCGTCCTCTACGCTATCCTGATCAGGATGACCCTTTGACCCCATTCATGGCGATCATGCGATTGCAAGTTAATTCAAATTCAGGAAATTCTTCGTTTATTCTTGGAACACCTGGTGTTCGTTACGGACCTCGCACCGTCAATTCATCGCCCCGTCTCGGCTCACCAATTCTTTTCCTTTCCCGACACATTTTTTTTTTAAAAAAAAACCCTTTCCTTACGTCATAAGTCCCCAACTACAGATTGCGCTCGCCCCCTCCGCCTGACTTGCAGGGTCATGCCAGGTAAGCGGCTCCCGAGAGGAAAAGAGACACGGGAAGTCCTCCCGGGCGGAAGGGGGCGCATTTGGCCGCTGCCAGAGCGTCCGCGGCGCTCCTCTCCTCGTCGTTTCTGGGAAGAAGTATAGTGCAAGTTCCGCCTCGGCTCGTCATTCAGCCGCCCCGGGCCCGGCTTGAGTTTGCTGGTCGTGCTGCTTTCCCTTCCCCTCTCCTCTTCCGTTCTTCCGTTGAGCTCGTGTGGGTGGGAGCGAGCCTCGCTCTTCTGTTGGCTTGGCTCGCCGCCGCCGCCGCCGCCGCTCAAGCGGGACGGTCCCTGCCTCTCCTGCGCCGCCTTCCTCTTCGTTCTCGAGCGGACCGGGGATCGGCTCCCCACCCCGCCCCCGGCGGAGGCCATGGCGGCGAGCGCCAAGCGGAAGCAGGAGGAGAAGCACCTGAAGCTGCTGAGGGAGATGAGTAGCCTCCCGCCCAACCGCAAGTGCTTCGACTGCGACCAGCGCGGCCCCACCTATACCGACATGACGGTGGGCAGCTTCGTTTGTACTTCCTGCTCCGGCATCCTGTGAGTTGAGGAGAAGAAAGGGCCCGGCCGCTTGGCGGGAGGAAACGGTCGAGCGTTCTAAGTAGGCAGCGCAAGAGAGGAGGGAGAAAGCCCGCTCAGGCTGGGGAAGGGGTCTTGTGAGGAGCCCCTCTGTTGGGAGGGGAGAGGACTTGGGCCCGCGTGAAGAGCCAAATAAAAGTGGAAGTGGGGAATTCTTTCCCTCTCCCCGAAATATTGAGGGGGTGGGGCAGAGAGAAGTAAGGCAATACAGTATCTGCAGAGAGAAATGGAGGATATTGTTACAGTTACTTTGGTCACCAATAGAAAGACATTTTATTGCAGACAATTTGAAAGACTGGGCCACCTGGAGAGACCCCCAGAAAGCAAAAAGCTGATGAAGTGAAAAGTACAGGATTAGAGTTTGGGAAATAACCCAGTATGGAGATGTTCCACAAGCGTAGGCAACACTGCTTAAAATGAGAGTTGGTTCCTAGTGTATGTCATAAAATATGGATTATAAGCAATGCAAAATGGTATTTTTGGAAGAAAGTGTGTAAGCTTGATGTGCTAGCTTTTTGCTGGGGGAGAATCATATTTTAAAAATACATAAAATAGGAACAGAGGGACTTCATGAATGCATTTTCAAAATGTAATAACTTGTTCATGCCTTTTTTAATAACTAACTGAGAACATTTTGAGGAAGTAATAATAGATAATATTAAGTAAGCATATTACTTCAAGGGCTTACAGCAGGAAACAATTTAAACATCTTGTTAATCTCTAAATTTGAGAGGTTACTATATTTTTACCACTTTATCTTCATAATTGCCAAACTGTGGACATAATTTTGAAAGAATATAAACTAGTTTTCATAATCTGTGAAGTTAGCTGTCCATAATATGTAATCTTCAATACTTCTATAAAAAAATTTCAAGAATGTCATGTTACAATAGGCAGACTTAGTTTGATAATCTGTGACATTATTTGCTAAAATTATACCAATACACATAACTATGTTATAGGTCTAGAATTATCTGTACTGATGTAAATTGATCAGAATCTTGCTTATGTAAGAAAATCGTTTATATGTGTGGGAAATGGGAGATTTGTGATTTCAATTTTTCAAAGTGAACAATAAACTGTATTTTACATTGAAAAATCAATTTGGTAAATTTGGTATGAAATGATGGAATAATAGAGAAACCTGTTAAAACAAAGCTGAACTTTAGAAATCTTTAATGTGACAATTGAGTGTAATCTTTTTCATTATCTAGTTAAGCTGTTAAGAATCTCACTAATTCTAAATTGAACTTTACAAACAATCCTTTACCAATTCAAACAAATATATTTAAACTATTGCTGCCATGAAGTCATTAATACCTCCCAGAACAATATATTAATTTCATATAATAATGGTGTTTCAAGCATTTTGTATTTAATTTTTAAAAAAAACAAGTGTACTTCTTAGTAGTAGATCCTCAGATTGTACATGCTATCTTACTGTGGTATTTGTTTATGAGTTTCATAATTGAGATTCACGTCTGATTCTATTAAAAATAATGACTAAAATTCCCAATATCTTCAGCCAGAATCATTAACAGCAGTAATGGTGGGTGTTTTGGAGTTGAGAACTGTCAGGAGAGAATGAGGGCACCAAACAAAGCTGATTTCTCTTTTGAAATCACAATATTGGGGAAGGCATGATCTTTCTGATGGAGAATTAGAATACTCAGGCTATTTTAAGCAGAATATTGTAATCCTATGTACATGTAGTATGTACATATAGAGAGTGATAATTTTTATGTTTCTAGAATTTTTATATTTCTAGAATAATTTTAATGGTTGTGTGTGTGCTGTATATACCAAAATAATTTTCAAACACAAATTCATAGTGTCTTAGTGAAGGTTATGTCACTCACAATCAAATGCAGCACAGTTCTCTCAAGTGAGATAACCGTTGAGTGATGCAAAAATGAAAGTATTAAATCTGTTGTTCCTTTTGAAATGCCATGACATTTTGTTTCATAGAACTCAAAACATTTTATTATGACAACCAATATCTTTATAGGATTAAAAGAAAAATATCTTAACAAACATTTAGCCTTAAGACTAAAGATACAACTGCCAGAATAATGGGAAACTGAAATAAAATTATTAGTTTTTGACATATTTGGAATTTTTAATAGATAAATATAATTGCAACATAATAAAATTAATAGTATTTATAGTAAAATTTAATGTTTTGTTTCTCCATAATCAGAATAATTGCATTTGAGTTCTCTTAGCATTTTTACGTCTCTATCCCATACCATTAGTCAAAATTTAAACAGATGAACACTTTACTAGAAGAACAGTTCAAAAAGCTTTTTAAGAAAGCAGAATAAAAGATCTGTATCCATAGGAATTCTAAATGTCTTAAAAGATCTGACTAGTGGTTTCTGAACCAACATTTTAAATTGATAGCTATAGGCAACCTCTGAGAACTGTATTTAGAAATACGTTATTAGGCCCAATGTTTCTACAATACTTGAATCAAGACTTCTTTCAAAATTAAGAAATTTTCATATTTGTCGTATCTCTTATTTATTAAATACTATTTTTATCACTTAAGCTGTAGTTAAAAGTTCTTTTACTTGAAAGATTTCTACAATCACTTTTTTTAAAAAAAATATTTTATAGGAGAGGTTTAAATCCACCTCACAGAGTGAAGTCCATTTCAATGACCACATTCACACAACAAGAAATAGAATTTCTTCAGAAGCATGGGAATGAAGTAAGTATTTAGTATAGAATGCATAAGTAAATTGATGGAGAATACAATTTTAATGAGTGACTTAGTCAAAAAGATAATACAAGTTCTGAACATAAGAACATGAAATTTTCTTGGGCTGTACATACAGCACATACAGTGGTGTTTGAGAGCTGAAATGGAACTCTAATTTGACCCATGAATCAAATTTTCTAAGTTTCATTGATGCATTTCAGCATTTCCTCTGCCTTTTTATTATTCAGCATGCTTTTAGAGTGAACTTTTCAGCATGGGTGGAACTTCCTAGAAATATGACTGGTATTTCCTCAAATGCTTATTCCTGTTAATATTGCATCACAGAAGTGCTGCTGAAGCATGTTATGGCTATGTTTTATGGGATATAGAAGGCAAGAAATTGCTTAATGGTCTTAAAATTATCAAAATGCGTAAGACTATATGACCTGAATTTAAAGATTTTCTAGACATTAGCAAGCTATCCCAAGTACATGAATTCCAAGAAGCTTAGTCATAACACGTAGTTTAAGTTGCAGAATTATAATAGCTAAAAAAATGGTAAGAAATGACTAATCTGGAATTTTAAATTAACCATTCTTTTATTTGATCAGGGTTATTTTTAGCAAATATTATTTGCTCCCAACCCTGAAATGGGACATTTTGCTGCAGCCAAACTAATTATAGCTAGGGTGTTTTTTTTGTAGGCTGTTGTTTTCCTTGGTAAAATAAAAATCTAATTATTTAGAAGATATAGAGGAATTAGCTGAATAACTGTAGTAAGAAGTATTTCAATGCTGTTCAGTATAAAAAGAATGTTGTTTTACTTGAGTTTTAAGAATGATTATCCAAAATCAGCTGAAACACTGACAACAATATAGCTGGTATGCAGGGAATGCAGATGGATAGTGGAAAACATCTCACTAACTCACAGTTGGAATCTAGTGTACAAAATATACATTTAGAATTAAACACTTTTAATCCTATCACTCACACCATAGTCATTTAGGGATGCTATGACTGCTAGAATTTGGAGAACCAATCATATGGCTAAAACCAGTCAGCGGGGTGGGGAATAATGGTTTTTACCCTTTTATATTTGGGTTTTTATTGTTTGTAAACTGCCCAGAATCACTGAGAGCGAGTGGGTTACCATGTAAATCTTCTAAATAAATAAGTACCACTCGTTGAGCACTATCACAACTTTGAACAATTGCTGAACGGATAGCTGGTAAGTGAGGACTACCTGTACACTCCTGCCATTCTTCATTCATCCCTTTTAGGAACATTTGCCCCTCATTCTCTTCTGAGTCAGCATGGTAGGACTTGCAGAGGGATGTATGTGTATGTAATATCATTGAATATTACTTTATGTGAGTTGATGGCCAAAAGAAAGATGTTACTGCTAAAGTAATTGCATAATTCATTTAGTTGTAAATATTTAAATTTTTGTCTTCTATTACAGTATTTCTATTTATTGTATGCTTCTACTTAAAATGTTTTACAAAACCTATAAAAAACATCATCTGGGGTATGTAATTCTGTTCCCAAACTAACTATATGGTCATTAACCATAACAAAGATTTTAGATTTTATAAAGATTTAGTGGATTCATGTTGAGAAAATGAATGGGTTTGAATATGTACAAAACACTATTTGATGATGTTTCAATCTCTTTAATATAGTATAGGTAGTCCTTGATTTATGATCACAATTGAGCTCAAATTTTCTGCTGCTAAGCGAGACAGTTAAGTGAGTTTTGCCTCATTTTATTACCTTTCTTGACACAGTTAAGTGAATCAGTGGAGTTGTTAAATTAGTGACACAGTTGTTAAGTGACTTTGCCTTCCCCAGTGACTATGCTTGTCACAAAATCACAAAAGATGGTCACGTGATCCCAGGATACTTCAACTGGCATGCACACATGCCAGTTGCCAAGAATCCAAAGTTTGATCTTGTGACCGTAGTTTGATCTTGTGACCATAGGGGTATTGCAATAGTCATAAGTGAAAAGCAGTCACATTTTTTTTTCCAGTTCTGTTGCGTTTTCAAACTATCCTAAAGGAATTATTGTAAGATGAGGACCACTTATATTTAAGTTCATTAAGTGATCAGATGGAAGTACATTTTATTTAATATTGTTTGTCTTTGAAAAGGTATGTAAACAGATTTGGCTAGGATTATTTGATGATAGATCATCAGCAATTCCAGACTTCCGGGATCCTCAGAAAGTCAAAGAATTTCTACAAGAGAAATATGAAAAGAAAAGATGGTTGGTACACATTTCACTATAATTATATTATAAAACTTTGTATAATAAAAAGAATTTGTATTATAATATATTGAACATTTCCTATTCTATTTCCAGTAGAATGCCTAAACATATACTTGTTTTATTTGTATCAATATTTACCTTGTAGAGATATTACTGGAAAATTTCTTACCAAAGTCAAATTCAAAATCATTGAAATGCCTTTGTCATGCATTTTACAGTACCTCTACTGATTTTTACTGCTGTAACCATTATTACTTCCTTCTAGTAGTCACCAATTAGCTCGCCCTGTTTCCCCCTAGGGTTAAAAGGCATTGTGAACAAAAGTACTAAATATTAAACTAATTAGCAAAGTCCAGTGTTTGACTTTTACTTAATTTCTTGAGCAAATTATTGTTCATTCTCCAGAACATGAGTGTTCAGTTGAATGAATTCCCTGATGCTGTTTCCCTGGAATACCCCTTAACAACCCCCACTCATTACGATGCCATTTTCTCAAGCTTAGATCAGAAAGGCTTTGCTTTCTTTTTATTACTTAACTACCCCCCACCACCCCCCCCAAAAAAATCATGTCTTATTTGATTGCTTCTGTTTTAGGAAGATTAATGCATAAAATAAAATTAGATAAAATATTTTTGACTTAAAGTTTAAAGGCTGTGTGTTTGTATTTATGTATTACGAATATTCACAATGTACATTTTTTTTGTTTTAAGTTATTGGTATAGTAAAATAGTAAAATTCTTGGCTGAAGCAATTCTTACAGCTATTTTTAACAGGATGAAGTTTTCCAGTTTTAGTTAAATGTATTTCTTAAGCCAATACTTGTTGCTAATATCTTATTTTTCAGCTGTGTAGAATAATGTATTTTGCTCAGCTTGTAATAGTATATCTTACTTAGGTACTACACATAAACACACAGGGTTCCAGTTCTAGAACTTCAACCAGTTACATTATATTACCTCTATTTACATTCAGAATTTGCCTTGTACATTTATGATTTGTTTTAGACCAGTTATATCTTAATGATTATTCAGAGCATTTCAATTATATGCCAGTTAATCTTTTAAATCTTTGTTCTTACTGTTTTTCTTACATTATAGCTATTACAACAAAGTGGGTTTATATTTGCTTAAGCCATATGGATAATTTCAGCTCTCTAAAGCCTATAATTGGATTGTAGCATCATCATTTATTAATGATGGATTTGGAGATGTTATATAATAAATACAGATGTTTTAATTTGGCATTTTAGGTATGTTCCTCCAGAACAAGCAAAAGTTGTGGCTTCTGTCCATGCATCTATATCTGGATCTTCTGCTAGTAGTACAAGCAGTACTCCAGAAGTTAAACCACTTAAATCTCTCTTAGGAGAATCTGCACCAGCACTGCACTTAAATAAAGACACACCTACACAAGTAAGTAATGTATCTTTTAAAAGTGTATAAATTTAACACCCATTCAATAAAATAAATTAACTTGATGCACTGTCCATTACTAATCTATTATTTGAAATCTTTCTTCAGACTGATGCTGCTTTCATATTTTCAGTTTATACTATGTAGCTGTTCTATATCTCTTAATTTTGTCCTGATGGCTTTCAGGGAATCTATCTACTCAACAATTCTATTCAATTCTACTTTATATTTCTGTTAACAATGTTAACAGAACTAAAGTATGTTATTACATAGTGACAATATCATTCATATTTCCTTTACTTCTTCGTCCTTCAATAATCTGTTCCTTCGGGGGTTTTCTTTTTGTCCACCTATATTTTGTTGAGTTTTTATTGAAAGTTCTTTTAGGAGACCTATGTTGCATTCTTCCAATATCTAAGCTTCTATAGTACTGACATATTTTCTCAGCTTCCTAGTCTTTGGTCTCTTTTATTTTTCACACACTTCTGTTTCCTAAATTATCTTTACTAGAGTCTGAAAGTGAATTATATTGTGTGTCTCTTGAGAGTGTTTGAATGTTTCGTGCAATTTTGCGTTACTGTATTGATGAGTGCCAGATCTGTAGTATCTTACAGTGCAGAATTAAATTGCCTCATCTGGATGAAAAATAATTTGACTTATAAAAGTGATGTTTTTCTGTATTAGGAATGAAACTCTGGTTTATTCTAGTTACTCTACTCATGCTTGTTTAACCCACTGCAATTTGTTTACAGTCTCCTGTTACAATACGGTCTCAAGGGCAGTCACAAGAAAAGAAGCAATTTGATCTTCTCAGTGATCTTGGTTCAGACATATTTGCTGCTCCTACTCCACACACCACAGCTACTGCGAATTTTGCTAATTTTGCACACTTCAACAGTCATACAGGTAATTTTATTGACTATCTTAGGTTAAATATGAATAGGTATTAGGTTAAATTAATACTGAGATTGAGCTCTCTCTCTCTCTCTCTCTCTCTCTCTCTCTCTCTCTCTCTCTCTCTCTCTCTCTCTCACACACACACACACACACACACACACACACTTGTATGGCCATTGGTTTAATGATTAAATTGCCCAAATGTGTGCTTAATCACTGAAGGTTATTAACACAAGTTTACCAAAACCTACAGATAAAATAAGAAATAAGCTATGAAAACCAAACTTGCTGGCTTCTGTGATTTTGGCAAAGATTTGAGAAAAAAAGAGAAAGTCACATTTGTTTCAGTCCAGACCAAATAAAATATTTAAAATTATGAGATTATGAGTCTTCCTAAATATAATAATCTAAGTAAACAAATTTTAAGCAAAATAGCTAAAAGATAAAATGTACAGTACATTATTATCATAGGAACAAAATTGACAAAGTGAATAATTTATGATTAAAATGATTAAAACTACGGTAAAATGATTAAAACTATGGTAATGTATTACAATTAATAGAACAATAGTTCTATGCTATTATGAAAGTAACAAAACATTCAGTGCTATCTATAGAAAGAAAAATGAAAATAAGTATTCTATGCTAATAGGCTAAAAATTAAGACTGTTAAGGTGATTAGAAGACATAGTAGACAGATCAGTAAACATAGTAGACAGAAATATAATCATGAAGTTTAATAAGGAAGTGGTTTATTAGTTTTACTTAACTCTTACCAGCAATCAATTTCCTGCCAATTTTATATTGGGCAAGATTAAATCAGAAATAATTACAAATACAGAATTATTTTGGCCAAGAAGCTGTGTAAATATTATGGAGATACAAAATTTTCAATTTCTATAAAATGAGCAACACAGAAGTGCTTGTTTAATAGTCTAAAGAGTTAGTAACTCACAAGACCATACAAACTCCAAGAAACAAGCTGTCTTGTATCTATGACATGCTGTTGGTAAAAGCCTTTCTGTCCTTGAGATTAATAGCTATCCAAGACAAATCCCAAGGGTAATTTTGTTCTTTGATTATTGGTAAAAAGAAGATTAGGACTCTTGCTTATATCAGTTTGGTGATTGTCCTTTATTTTCAAAATGATCTAGATTACTCAAAATCAAAGGAAAGCAGGTGGGAAGGATAGAATCCTAGGTAGTCACACATTTAATATTTTTAAGGATATTAACAATATTAATCGAGAATGCAATGGGGAAAAAGCAATAAACAATAATGGGAACACTCATGATTTGTACTCTGTTGCTTTATATGACTCACGTATAGGTGTATATTTCTTTTAAAATAACTGATCAAGAGCACAATCCTTCATCTTCTATAAAAGATCTAATGCCAGAGCTGTCACAAAATTTAATATTCATCATGTCAAATGCTTATTTTTCCTCTTGATTCTGACTGAATTTTTTTAAATCAATTGTAGGACTGGAATAAAACCTTCCTTGTGTTTGTGTGTGTTGGAATGGGTGGGAGGACTGTAATATGCTTTTTAAAAGGCATTTTCAGCAGAGTTCTGGTGTTTGAATCTCAGAAGTACTTGAATGGCAGAAGAGTTTTTTCTTTTTTAACTTGGAGCTATTTAGCTATGGAGATAAATAATAATAATGTGGGCTCTTAAGCATGCTCCCATTCTTTCCTTAAAACACTTTAATGTGTGAGTTAACCTTGACCATGTGGATTTTTCTGTTGGTAGTACTAGATCCTTGTAAGTCTTGTCTTCCATGTCCCTCATTCACAGGGAATCTGTTACATGATTATATAACGACTTGTTGGTACTATTATATCTTTAAAAAGAAATCAGAGGAAGATGTCTTCCATAAGTCATTATCTATAGTTTGCAAACTGATTTAAGTCATTTTTGTTGAAGTCAGTAGTTAACTAATAATAATTGTTAATAATTATAATTTTAGGTATTTATTGTTTTAACTTGCTGTAAGCTGCCCAGAATCATTTGTTCTATGAAATGAATATCTATATAAATTAAATAACTAAATTAACAAATAAATGAATATTCTGTGCATGCTGTTTATTAGTTTCATTTTGCTTAAACATTTCACTTTTCTGAACTATTATGTAAAATGGTTTTTCCAAATTGTTGTCTAGAAATTCTGTTATTTATATTCCAATGCAACTAAATGCCTTTAGTTATATATTTAAAAAGGATAAAAATGTAATAATCACAATATTTCTAACTCTTACAAGAGTTCTGGAAGACAGGGCTTTGGTGATGAGTTAACAGAACAGGTAGAACTTAATTTAGTGAACACAGTTGGCACCAGCAACTTGGTCATTAAATGTAGTGGTCACTAAGTCAAACTGTGCCTGTTCTGTGGTCTTAGCTCAGCTTTCCTATAAAAGCAAGGGTTGAACATAGTTACTTTTTCATTACTGCTGTAACTGCAAAGAGTCACCAAAAGTTGCTAAATGAGGATTCCCTGTAATTGAGTGGGATTAAATAAATCTTTAGCTACAGTAGTTGCAGATTACAGTTCATATAGCTATAAAGAGTAGATAATGCCCTTTTTTAAGGAAGGGCATTAATTTTAATGTTGGTGACATTTACAAGATATTTCATAGCATTCTTGTAATTGGTTGGATGATGAATCAATTTCAGTTCAATTTTTTTTCTGCACCCTTCAGAGCACAGAGATTGGAGAAGAAGCAGTTAGGTTCCCAGAAATTATGCTCTGTAAATAGCTTGCAGTACTGCTCATTACTCTTGTAATCCTTTGTTCTTCAGTCTCTCTTTGTAATGGGTGAGGGAGAGAAAAACAAAGTGATTTATGTAGGTATCTCTCTTTTACCTGACCCTTTCCCCCCATTGCAGAGATTGGAGAGTTCTGTAAGTACTGCTCTTCTACACATTGAAAATATTGTGATCATGCTGGTCAGGAAAAGGATAGATCAAAAATTGTTTTTGATGTAAGTGAACAGGCACTGGAGCATTCCAAAGGGCAGGTTGGTCTTTAGGAGGCGAACAAAAACTGAAGGTGTGAAACTGAGTAGCCTTGTCTCTTTCCAGTTGGTATTTTATTTCTCACTTAGCCACTGCTTTGCTTAGTGGCTGAGTTGCAGATCCCAATTTGGGTTGTTAAACGAGGACTGTCTTATTCCTATTCTGATACCCTGTAACTATCAAAAGTAGACTTTTCAGAGGCTGCTGCTAGACTTTGAAAGCCCCTGCAAAGAGTTACAAAACTTGGTTTCATCTGATTAATCTTTCCATTGGCAGCTAACAGCATTTTTATTCAGATGTGGTTTATAGGTTAATATGATGGTTTTTAAGCACTGTTTTGATGGTATATATTTATTAATGTGCTTTATGTTTTAATTTTTAAAGTTATTAATCTGCTTATATTTAACTGTTTTAAATGTTACTTAACAGTCTCACTTTTATAATTAAAGCAATATGTTAATACAATACACTATTATATATTTATACTCTTAGATACTATATAATAATCAGCTGACAGTAACTGTTCAGTAATAAGAGAGGCTGTTTTCCATCTAGATTGAGCAACGTAGTAAATTCAAGCTGATAGGAACATTTACTTATGCAAATGATTGTAATATATCTTTATTAAGAAAGTATTTTGGATTTTACTTTATTTCATTATGTGATATATTAGAGGTAAAGTTATTGTAATCATAAGTAATTTTCTATTTGCGCAATGTTTCCAAATTTGAAAATGATTTATGTCTTTAAAACATTACTTTATGCAATTATATATTGTACATGGTTTGCTTAATTGTCATATGCCTTTAATGTTTTATGTTTTATATTAAAACTGAATTATCAGAAGCCAAAATCAATAGAGTTACGCTTGGTAAACTCAATAATATGTGAAAACTAGTGGTTTAACAATTCCATTCATGCATCTTGAAGAAGTATTATAGAATTTCTCATTTTTAAAGCTTTTGGTCATATGACATAGGGAATTGTTTCAGAAACACATTGAAATGTAATCATATGAAAAACTTGCACGCTGTTTTGAATTTTGCCAAAAAGTTTTAAAATTATAAAATTACTTTTTGGAAAGAATTTGAAATAAAAGCATAAAAACACAAAGAAATTCATTACCTCCGTGACAGTAATAAGACAAGATACAGCTTAGAAGGGAAACCTTGTCCTCTTTTGCTAGACTACAACTCATAAGAGCACAGACTAGCATGACCACTAGCAATAGATTGTAAAAGTGGCAGTTCAGCAATATCTGCAAAACCATTAATTCTCACATCTCTATCATAATATACTTAAATCAAATTGTCTCAGTTAAAATATGTGGCCTGGATTTCACACATAATCCTGAACTGTAAACTCTTTTTTATGACCCTGTAGTCCCTATACTGCATATATATATACTGGTGGGACAGTGATTAAAATACAATATTGCAGGATAATTCTGGCCAGAGCCTGGAGTTCAATCCTGACAGACTTGATGTTGACTCAGCCTTCCACCCTTCCAAAGTTGATAAAATGAGGATCCAGATTGTTGGGGGCAATATGCTGATTTTGTAAATCAAAATTAGAGAAGGTTGTAAAGCACTGGGTTAGTATATAGGTCTAAGTGCTATTGTTATTGCTATTACTATACTCTGGGTAGGCGTCAGAAAGGACATCTGTCCAGAATAGAGGTAAGTGTAGAGTCGCCCCAACTCTATCCCGAATCTTGGTCTATAATGTTATTTTGTTTTGAATTAGAACAATATGTGAATTCATCTTAGGTAATAGATTTATGGGTTGCAAAGCACACATAGATCCATTTTGGTAAGCTAAAAATAACATAAACTTGTTTTTCTTAAGATTAGTTTATGGGGTTTCAGAAAGAAAATTAGTAATAAACGATATAGTATAATAATGGGATCACAAAATGGTATTTTCATTTCTGTTGACAGATATTAGATCTAAAATAGTTTAGATATAAATAGAATTAAAAGAACAGTCATTTTCGTGTAGGATAGGTTTGCAAAATATATATAAGAAAATGTTTGTCTTGAACATTGTACTTTCAAATAGTATAGTTATCCTAAAGTATAGTTATCCTATTCTGTTCAGTTTATCTTTGTTTTCATTTCATTAACATATTTTTGTTCATTTGCACTTTACAGCGCAGAACTCTGCAAATGCAGGTTTTGCAAACTTTGATGCATTTGGACAGTCTAGTGCTTCGAGTAATTTTGGTGGTTTCCCCACAGCAAGTCAGTCTGCTTTTCAGCACCAAAATACAGGTAGAAATGCTCTAACGTTGTTAATTCCTTTAATATACACTAATCTGGACAATATAGTTGGAATATTTCTTAGATCTCCTTGTATCTACTTGTCTTAACATAATCTGAAGCTCTGGGGAAACCTGAAAAATAAATGTTCCTTTTCTTTTGCTATACTTGGTGTGGGTTGTGTTCATGCATGACATTTTTATATTATAGCTTCTGAATAACTCCTACACATGATGTAAATACTATTCATTGCAAAAATATTGAATCATATCTTAAAGAATCTATTTTTTCTCATGCAATATACATTGGTTTGGCTAAACTACCTCATGTGTAAGGACTGTTGCTTTCTTCTTCTTTATTTGTTTTATGCTGTAATTATTTTTCCTGGAATGTTAATTGGTATGTCTTGATCTGTGGTTGACCACTTTTCTGTTTCATTTTCCATGTTTAAAAATGCTTAAGATTTCTTTTAAATTTTTTGTTTTTCCTTTCTGTTAATTTTAACCCCTCACACAATTTCTGGCTGTCCAGCGTTCAGAACGCTTTCATCTAGCTGCAGTTTTGGTGATTTTACTACTTCTGCTTTCCCTGGCCAGGCTATGCGCAGTAAGTTCCACCAAGGTGGGAAACTCAGCTCATTTAATTTATAGTACCATTTTTCTTCATTTCCACTGTGTCATGTTCAAGTTTTCTTATTTGTTCTTCTTCAAAAGATGCCACCTAATAGTACATGCTTGCTACTGGTATATTGGCTTACTTGCATTTGAGAATGTATTTCAACAAATGTAGAGAGTAAAAGTCATAGTTACAATGGTTTTCTTTATGAAAATAAGTAGAAAATATAATACAATTTTTAGTATTCATGAAAATCTCAAACATTTCAGGTTACTGTATAATGTAGTTCAATTTTTTATGTAACATGGATTCCATATTCCAGCCTCCTGGGCTGGTTCCTGTGCCTGTCTTTGGACCTTTAGTGGCTCAGGCTTTTGGCAGCTGCTGCCAGATGTCAGATTGACCTTTAGTAATGCCCGTTCCCCTTCCACCACAATCTGATAATGGATGAGAAGATCAACCTAGAGTGTATCACCAAAATGTTCCTGCACACTGAGAGAAGTGTTTCCCTCCCTTAGAAATGTTCCCACAAGGCATGACTCAGAGCACTCATTGCAAGGGCAATGGAGTTATCATAATTAACCAAGGGACTTGGTGGCTTTTAGTAGCACTGCTCTGCAGATAACAGGGTATGAAACCTGTTGATAATGACAGTTGACTCTAGAGATCAAATGGGACTTCTGCTGCTGTTCATCATCCCTGCTATGAACTGTTATATGCTATGGCCAGGTTGCTAGTAGAATGCCCATAATTTAGCCCTTGGGCTTTAATTTGCCTTTTCCTGGTACAAAGTGAAATTGGCTTGGGAGTCCATAGCCACTGTGCATTTCTCCCAGATTACTAAAGGTTTGAATCATGGCTGCAGTCATGGTTTTATAAAATTGTTATTTGTCTTAGACACATGCAGTTGAGGAATGTTACTGTCCGTTCTTGTCGTCAGATCACTCCCAGGTAGCCTTGGAGTTATCTGCAGCTGCTGTGTACCACAGAATAGAAGAATCCATCTGATTGGTCTGTCCCAGGTGCCTGATGGATCCCTTTGAGTTTCAGAGGAATTTAGAAATTTGTTTTCTGAAGCTCTGCACAGCTCAACTGAGGCTGTCTTCATTGCTTGGAACAAAATGGTGGCAACAGCCTTGTAACATATGTGCATATGAGACTCTGCTGAGGATTTTGAAAAGTTCCTAATTTTTAAAGTAACCCTGGCAGTTTAAATGGAAGAAGAGAACTCTGGGGAAAAACAGAAAGCATTTATTAAGGATTGCCATGGTGATAAGAGCAGCAGGACATAATTATTTTTCTGCTCTTTATCATGCCTACAAACAGGGCTGGTAGCCCTGTACAAGATGAACTGGTCCCTCTTGCGCAAAGATGGATCTGAGGAACAGCGGCAGGGATCTATGAAGTCTATTCCGCACATGTTTTGGATAAAGTCTCTTGGATCCATTCTGAATGGATCAGCTGTTCAGGTCCTTTGGGATTGTGTGTGACATAGTTTGGTATGTTTTTGTGATATTTCTGATAAAATGGAACAGGGCCTTGGGGTGGGAAGTGCAGCCACCTGAATATTAGATCTATGGCCCTCGTGGTTCGTCAACAGTTCCTAGGGATGATGTGTGGCTGTATACACAAAGTAGTAAATGCATCCTTTAGGGAGGAGATGATTATGACTGGAAGGTTCCTGTGAAAGTAGTTGTGTTTCAGATCGGGATTACAGTGTTGAAATGTATTGATGTATATATGTATATGACTTTTGGTGGGATCAGTAAAGAGGCAGCGCATCCCATGCTGGCCTTCCTTGATCTTTCAGTGGTTTTCAATACCATTGTATATAATGTCCTTCTAGATTCACTTTAGAAAGTTAAGGTTAGAGGAAAGTTAGTTGTCCTTTCTCTGGGACTAGTGGAGGAAGAGATCCAGCCCCACTGCCCTGCTTTGCAGCATCTTCGGGGCTTTACACTCTCACCTCCTATTCAGCATTTATATGAAGCTGCTTGGTAAGGTCATCCATAGGCACAGGGTTAACATCAATTGGATGATGATACACAGCTATCCATCTCTGACCAGGATTGGACAAGTGGTGCTATCAGTTTTCCCTAGTATTTGGAGGCTAATAGGAACATGTGTGCTTCAGGCCAGCTGCAGTAAGACTAAGTGGCTGTGGGTTTTTGGATCCCTGAAGCTGGAGGCTTTCTGTCTTTGGTTCTGAATAGAGTTCCACTTTCCCACACAGAACTAGCATGTACTTTGAAGGTCTTCTTGTACTCATGGTTCTTGTTTGAAGAACAGGTAACTACTGTGGTCAAAGGGATATTTGCAAAGCTCCATCCTATCCATTACAGTTTGTTCAAAATACAGCAGCATAGATGGTAGTAGGTACACCATTGTATGTACATGTAATATCACTACTCATGAACTGCACTGGCTTTGTGGTGTAATTTGTGATACTGATTATTGCTTATAAAGCTCTTCATAGAACAGGTCCAAGTTGGGATTGCATATGTCTGTCTGGGTCTTCCAATCCCATGAGATACAAGAGAGTGGACATACTTTAGGTTTCCTCTGTGAACTGTGTCATCTAATGTGACTCTTCTCTGTCACGGCACCTACCCTTTGGAATAATATGACCCTTGAGTTTCAGATGAGGCCGATTCTTGTTGGTGTTCTATAAAGTTTTAAAACACTGGTTTTATTCTCCAGGCATTAGGCCAAGATGTTGGATGAAACAGTGCCATAAATGTTTTTAGATGGTGAAATGTTTTGACCTCTGTGTTGTTTTATGCTGGGTTTTGTCATTTTTATTTTTATTATTTACCTTCTTTTGTGTTTCAGTCCAAGGTTTGTCACCCAGAATCACAATTTCTTAATTGGGTGACCTTATAAATTGTGTACATAAATAAAAAATGATATTCTGGGGTTAGAGAGGCAATGTGATATGGTGTTAAGGTGCTGAACAGGGTAGAAACATCCAGGTTATAGTCCTGTCTAAGCATAGAAATTGGCTGGTAGCCTTTGGGACCAGTTACTCTCTCAGCCTTTTAGTGGGTAAAGAAAACATATATTTAGCAACCTGCACTGGACCAAAGTAGTAGAATTTGACCCTGACTTTAATGAATGAAAAGGCCTCCATCCAGCAGTGAAATGGTTTGGATGATGTTATTGTTGCTATTTATTCTAGCATGTTAATACAGATCATTTGTTTTGATGTAGAACCCAGTCTGGCCTTTCAAAAAAATTTATATTTTCTTTACCCAATCTATAGCCAGCAAAATAATCACTAAATTACAATTTCCAGTGGCTCAAGGCATTGAGTCTAATAGTGAAGATGCTAGGAATTATAATTTAGTAGCATCTTAATGTCACAGTTTTTCACTTATTTTTGTGGAAGAAGATTGCACATACTAATATCTTCAAAGGGAAAGAGAGCAGTGTAATCAAGCACCAACCACTAGCATTAACTTTTGCAGTTTGGAGTTTAAAACATTGAATATTAGATTACCAGAAGTGGTAATGAGGATTTTGTTATCTAATGATATAATTCACTCCTCTTTAGCTCTCTCTTCTGCTTTTAATTCTTCATAGTAATACAGAATTAAAAAAATTACAGAAAAATTAGACCATGATAAATTGATATGAAGTGATATACTTATTTCTTAATTTGATAGTTTTTTAAAAAAAAATTAAAGATGTGCTGTTTATCGGTACTTATCAAATATTGTTTCATTAAATGAATTTCAGTTTAATTAAGTTGCAGAAAGAGACAAGAGCCTAAAACAAAACATGTTTGTGTAAATCATTGAGGCTAGTTTTGCTGCAACATGTATTTCCTTCACGCTGCTCTGAGATTGATACGGCTAGGGCGTCCGGATTTGGAAGTTAAAATATCCGTTTTAACCAATCAGGATTTTGGAATAGAGAAACTTGATAAAAGGTGTGACTTAAAAGTACATTAGCACACATGGTCACCAAATACATTTGAAGAGACTTTCAATGAGCTTGAAAACTTTTTAACTTATTTTGTTGCAGGTGGGAGCGCTCGATCAGTGAATGCTAACTTTGCACACTTTGATAACTTCCCCAAATCCTCCAGTGCTGATTTTGGAGCCTTCGGTGGTTCTCAGAGCAACACAACTGCAGCCAGTAAAGCTGTAGTGAATAAACCATGTCTCCAGTCAGCAGATAAATACGCAGCTCTTGCTAATTTAAATAATATCTTCAGCACAGGGCAAGGTACTAATTCTTATTCTTTGACCTGTTCTCTTACGCTATTTATCATGGCTATAGTTTGTTCTGTGATGTACTATTAAAATCCATAAGATTTTTAGTAATTCCTATTACAAACAATACTAGTTTTACAATAAAACTTGCACCATGTTACTTGCAAGTTTGAGGCATTGGAATTTATGCAAACATAGTTATTCTGATGAAAATAAGGGTAAAACAATAAAAATATTGGTATGGTTTTTTATTTGATATAATGCATAAGAGACTATTTCTGTTCTACCAGTTATTGAACAACATATCTATCTGAGCGCACTGGATCTTTTAAAATATAGTTGCTATGAAGAATTTCAGCACATGGTAATTGTGGTAATCATAGGGTTTTGTGCCTGAATTCACAAACATCCTTATTCTGTTTGTTTATAACATTTTTTTAACATTTATTGATGATGAAATTGTTAAAAATAACACCCCACCCTTTATACAAGTAGTCCTCACTATCATGTTTAGTGACCAACTTTACAGTGGTGCTGAAAAAGTAACTTGTTGCAGCAGTCATGTGTTTAAGATTTAAGCACTTCACAACCAGTGGGCATTTATGACCATTATAATATCCTGTGGTTGCGTACTTTCACATGTAAATAGTCCTCAACCAACATTTGACCAGACAGTCAACTGAGAAGCTACCACTGAAATTGTGAAAGGTTAAAAAGTGAGTTATGATCAGTTTTCATACTTATGATGATTGCAACATCCCATCATATGGTCAAATTAAGCCATATGGTCAAATTAAGTGTTTGGCAACCGGCATATATTTACAATGGTTGCAGCGTCCCGGGGTCTTCAGATTTTCTTTTGCAAACTTCTTAGGGAGTTTCTGACAAGCTAAGTCAATGGGGGAAGCCAGATTTGCTTAAAGACCGCATGATTCACTTTCAGTGAGTCACTTCACAACCATGGCCAAAAGGTCATAAGGGCACGAGTCACTTAACAACTGTCCTGCTTAACAATGGAAACGTTATTGCAGTCATACATCAAGGACTACCTCTATATGGAAGTGAGTGTATACATGTATATAGACAGACAGATCGATATAATTCTCGTGGCAGCTCACAGCTCTTATTTGCAGTCTCCCAACTGCAATCTTGCAAGATTGATTGTTTAATTAGCTTTGTTAAGTTGCCTTGTATAGCTGTAAATCTATAAGCAAGATTACCCATTACCTAACCATATTAGCTATGATTTTTATAACAAAATAGTCCTTATCTGAAACTTATAATAGTTCCTTCCTCTGGAATTTTATCTTAATTTAATTCAAGCAAGTGTATTTATCAGATCAAGCATTTTTAAAGTATTGTGGATAAACAAGAAAAAACATTAAAACTTGCTTAGTTGTGTAATTGCTGGAAGAAAACCCTATAAACATAAAATTCACTTTAGGGACCTAAAGAATCTTAAAGCATATAATTTTAAAGCACCTACCAGTCATTATTTGTAGGATAATAAAGTTGACTAATCAAAAGCTTGCAGCTTTAATGCACTACATAGTTATGTGGTTTAAAGTGTTGTACCTAATGCCTTTTCCAAAATGTAATTTTGTTGATAGCATGTTACTAAAACAACTATAATGGTTTCCTAAAGAATATATATATAATGTATAAAATATATTTAATGTGATAACCTTAAATATGTTGCTGAAATACGCATTGAAAGAAAACAATTTTATTTCTTCTAGAATCATACCAGTGGGAATGAAATGTTTTTGTTTGAAGTTTCCTGTTTTCAATGTGCAGTGATATTGTTTTTACTTTTTGTACCATCAAGACAAAATTGGGAACATGAATGGTTATCCACGTGGTTTTCACTTTATGACAAACCATTCACATGTAGCAGCTATTTGTTTGGCCCAGGCCATTTCTTCACACAGTTACATGGAAAAAAATTATCTGTTCCTGGATTATAGAAATTATAGCTATGTTTTATAAGTTTAGTTTAACTGCATCAGTGAGAATTAAAGCTAGTTACCTACATGAAAGCCATAAAATGTTTGCAGAGCTTTCAGGATTGTCTCTTATGTATTTAATCATAAGTATATGCTGTCTGTAGTCGTGTGGCATTCATTTAGAATTTTCCTGAGTGGGAACTCTTCTACAGCTTTTTTTTCCTTCTCAAAAAAGATGAGTGAGTGGCTGAGTATATAAAATAGTTGAAAAATAAATCTCTTTCTTTCCTAAAACATTTTTTTATTGGAAATATGACTTTGTGGTTTTTTTAAATGCTTATTTTCTAATACTCCTAGATAATTGGTTAACTTGCATTGTCAAATATTGTGTGACTGTTTAACATTGTACTTTTTTCCTCAGGTGGTAATGAGCAAGGAAATGGCTTTGCTGCCAGTACAGTACCTGCTGTGTCAGCTCCAAGTCAAACAAGTACATCTTCAGACAAGTATGCAGCTCTAGCAGAATTGGACAGTGTGTTCAGCTCCACAGCAACCACTAGTAATGCATATACTTCCACCAGTAATGTTAGCAGGTACTCTTTCTCGATAAAAAGTTTAATGTAAATCATTTGTGTTTAAACAAAGCAAACATGAAATGGAATCATTTTAATGTGCAAGGTTTTTTTGAAATACTATTACTTGAAAAACCAGATTTTTTAAAATTCTGATTTCCATGAAACCCAACAAGAGCAAACCATTATTAGAAGAGAACCATAGCTCATCTCAATCTCAAGAATAATATTGCCCCCATATCTTATCCTGAAATGAGAAATATATTGTTGCCTGCAAAAATACAGGTAGTCCTCACCTTACAAGTACAATTGATCATTAAGCAAGGTATCCACTTTGCTTACCAATCACAGTCCATGTTCTCCCCATTGCAGTCATTAAGTGCAGCACAAGTTGGGTGAGGTCTTGGGAGACAGCACTATAGTACCTCCTCAACCCCCATATGGTCTGCCCTAGGCCTCCTAGGTCCTCCTTGTGCTTAGCTTTCTCTCCTATGATCTAAGAATTGTGGCTGCTCTCAAAATAGTGCTTACTCTGATACGGCATCACATGCCTCTGTATACTATAAGAAGGGTATAGCGGATTGGCCCATTCTCCTTCTCAAATGTGATTTTCAGAAAAGGTAAGTGAAGTGTGACAGCAGAGAGGAGGCCCAAAGGTGTATTGGGATCCAACTGGCTGGGAAATAGGCCCAAAGGATGGGCTGGCTGGTGGGATGGCGAGGAACATTGGTGAGTGGGGCCACTGTTGTGTCTGCAGTTGATTGTAAGGGTAGGCAGATTGCCAAGCACCCTAATTTTGTTCACGTTTTCACAGGGGTACTGCAGCAGCCATAACTTTGGGTAAAAGTCATAAGTCCCTTTGAGTACCATTGTAATTTTGAATGGCTGCTGATCAAACAGCTGTAAGTTGAGGACTACCTATAGTAGCTCAGTAGCTTGCCAAAAAATACAGTCAAGTTACTTTGCTGGAACAAACTTAGAAACTATGTGTTCAAGATTAACATTTCTAATGTCTTAATTTTTTATGAATGCTAATATTTATAATCCTCTTTTAATCTTTAATCTTCGGAAAATACATGCCATCTTTAGTGAAATTCCTGTCAAGTAAAATATAACTTTTGTTATGAATTTAATTTTGTACCAGTTTCTTTTATTTTCTATTTAACATTAGTTTGAAAATGATTGCAAATCAAACAAGATTGTCTCTAAAGTTCAGTTATGCTGAATTTTATATTTCCATGTACAGAAATTAGCTGTAAATGTACAAATATTGTACAACTGATGAATATGAATTATTTCTAGTAATGCTTTTGGAACAGTTCCAGTTGGTGCTAATACACAGACACAGTCTGCATCATCCAGTGTTCCTGCTCAATTTGGAGGTATTATAATATATTACTAAATAATCTTTCTGAACAATATCTGATAGTTTCACTTTGCATGATTATATTTTAGTTTGCATCCACCAATAGGTATAATAAATGCATTTAAACTAAGACTATCTCTGAGACACTTTGTATCTATTCATGATCTATGCCAGTGTGCTTTATATAAGAAACAAAATGGAGAGACTTCTGGTGCGAAAATGATGATTTATTGTTTCCAACACTCTTGGAGACAAGGTCATAGATGGCTTTACTCACTGCACAGGAGGAGGACCTTCTTTTTTCTTCCAGATTGAAGGAGGAAACCAGAAGTTGGCCCATTTGTCTTCTAGACTGTCACTCCTTGAGAGTAAATTGTAAAAATAGGTTTCTTTGACTTGTGAGTTGAGTAATAGGAGGTAGGATCTCCATCAAGTTCACACTGCAGTGAAGCTTTTTCTACTTTTAGGATTTATTCATCTTTGCAGTTACAGAAAAACTTAATCTTTGAAACAGATTAAATATTTCATTTTGGTGACTCTGTTTCTGGAACCTCATACATTGCAAAAAGTTGGAAATTAAAGAGACTTAAAATATTCAAATAGAATTTTATTTTTGAAAGACTGAAGACAACAACAGAAGAATAGGACTTAGGCATGCTCATAGCAGATGCCTGTAAAATAAGTAAACAATGTGGCCAGTTAGTTGTGAAGGCAAAGAAATTCTGGGATTCATCACTAGAGGGATCACCAACAGGAAAAAAGAGATCAAAATCCTGCTATATAGGGCTTTAGTCAGATCCCATTTAGAATCCTGTATCCAGTTCTGAGTACCCCTCTTTAAAAAAGAAATTACTAAGATTGAGTAAATCCAGAAACTAGCAACAAAAAGATGCAAGGTCTGAAAGATAAAACATATTAGGAGAGATTAGAGGAATTGAATATGTACACTCTGGAGGACAGAAGGGAAAGAGGGAACATGATTGAAACCTTTAAATATATTAAGGATGTGAATTAGGTACTAGAAGGCAGTATTTTCTTTAGAAGCAGAAATCAAGAACAAGGGGAGATAACCTCAAATGGACAGGAAGGAAATTCAGAAGTAATGCTAGAAAGTATTACTTTGCAGAAACAGTGGACATTTGGAACCAACTTGCAGCAAAGGTAGTGAGTCAATTATCAGTGAGTTTAAACATGCTTGGGATAAACACCATGTTTATCACCTGACAAAAATAAAATAATAAATAAAAAATAAAAAGTAAGAAATTAAAAAGAAAAATAAACAAAAATCACTGCATTGTGCTGGTTCAGTGGTAAGAATGCAGTATTGCAGGCTAACTCTGGAGTTTGATCTTGACTGGCTCAAGGTTGACTCAGCCTTTAAGTTAGTAAAATGAGGATCCAGATTGCTGGGGTACAATATGCTAGGATTCTAAACCACCCAGAGAGTGCTGTAAAGCACTACGGAGGAATATATAAGTCTAAGCGCTGTTGCTAAAAACTGAAAGGACAGACTTGATGGTCCACATGATCTTTTTCAGTTGTCTGTGTTTCTATGAAAATTTTCCTCTAGCAAATCTGCATTATGGGATTACAGTCTGAAGCTTCTGAATGGCATTGTTTTTTTTCTACGTTGCTACTGATTGGTTGGATTTATAAACAAAGGATTTCCTTTTTTGAGAGAGTAAATAAAAAGAACTCTTGTGTGGGAAAGCTGTCTTGTTTACATGTCAGTTGTAAAACAAAACCTTGAAAGTTGATTATCAGAGTACAAAATGGCTACTTTAAAGGAAATATTTGATTTATTGACTTATGAAGTGCCTGAACTTTTTAACTCTTTACTGGAACCAGAAGTTATTACTAATGATGAATATATCACTCTGGAGACAACAAAGATGAATTCACTGCATTTACAAATGCAAATGTAAGTTCATTCAAAAATTGAAAAAGAAATTTGAGATTCTGCTTTCAATTTGAAATATAAGAGGTTTATTGTAATTACTTCATAGAAACTAGAAATGGGCTTGAAAGATAATAAGAATTTCAGAGAAAGAAGAAAAGATGCCAGAAGAAATCAGGAGTCAGAATTTTATTTATGGAATTTAAGCATATTTGAGAGAAAAGAGGAAAATATGTTAAATTAGTTATAGATGGTTATGGTTAAACATTGAGTTATATCTCATGATGTTGAATGGTTGTCTAGATTGGAAAGTGTTTCTTTTCGAAATATCTACTGGGGAAATGGATTCATTTTTTATATTTAATGTGGCTATATTTTTGGTCATGTTTAATTGATAAGTGAGCGATGGAGGAATATGAACTAAATGGAAAAGGACCTATATATTAAGTTATTAGATATTTTGTTAATTTTTATTGGATGTTTACTCATTAATAAGGAAGTTGTAGATTTAAAGATGAGTTTATAGAAATTGTGGTGAGGCATGGAATGAAGAGGTATTTGGTTGTATTTTAAAAGGTGGTGATGTTAATGAAGCCACTTTTGGACTTTTTGAGAGAAACTAAAAAAACTAATTTTGATTTTTAGAAATGATGAGACTTTTAAACTAAAAGTTGGATGTATTTTATCTATATCTATACAAAAGAAAGTCAGAAGCCAGGTTCTTAATTTTTTTACACTTTTTTGGATTTTTATCTGATTTTTTTTATTTTTTTAATTCCTGCTTGTTCACTTTGGTTATTAAATTTTTAAAATTTAATAAAATTAGTTTTTTTTAAATGGGCAATTTGCAGTGATGATTTAATCTTTGTAAACTAAGAGATGAACTTTTGTATTCTGCAGCTCCTACAAATAAACGATCTGATTTATTCCACAGCTAATAACTATGAGATCCTAATTCAGATAAAATATAAACTATTGTTAATTCCAAATATTTTTTGTTGCTCAGATATTAGTCTTGCACCTAAGTTGATGTACTAAGCAGACTATGATAAAACTACCTCATTGATTAAAACATAACTTAAAACTGATTTGATCTAAGCCAGTGTACTTTATATAAGAAACAAAATGGAGAGACTTCTGGTGGGAAAATGATGATTTATTGTTTCCAACACTCTTGGAGACAAGATCAAAGATGGCTTTACTCACTGCACAGGAGGAGGACCGTCTTTTTTCTTCCAGTTTGAAGGAGGAAACCAAAAGTTGGCCCATTTGTCTTCTAGGTTGTCACTCCTTGAGAGTAAATTGTGAAAATAGGTTTCTTTGCTTGACTTGTGAGTTGAGTAATAGGAGGTAGGATCTCCATCAAGTTCACACTGCAGTGAAGCTGATTTATTCCACAGCTAATAACTATGGGATCCTAATTCAGATAAAATACAAAACTATTGTTAATTGCAAATATTATTTGTTGATGTATTAAGCAGACAATGATAAAACTACCTGATTGATTAAAATATAACTTAAAACTGATTTGAAATGTTATTTATATAAGCAAATTTGTAAAAACCATATCCTTTTCTCAGTGTCAGTGCTTCATTTTTCAGCAGCACCATCCACAAATCCATTTGTGGCTGCACCTGTAGCTGCAGTATCAGCATCAACAAATCCATTCCAAACCACCAGTCGAGGAGCAGCAGGTTAGGAAAAATATATCTACAGTTATGTTTGATAGCAATTTTTGTTCTGTTTTTGACTGGTACACATAATTTTGTGGTATAGTTAATGTACTAAAGATGTTTAAGTACGTATGAAATTAGTTATGAAATCGCATGGGTGTTAGGCTTATCTTTTTGGGTTGACCAGTTATGAATAAGTAATATGCATAGATTAACTAAATCCTTTTAATTGTTTTTTGAAGTTAAATCTATTTAATAGCATGTTTGTAATTCGGGCATTTGTGCTACTCTTGTAGAGTACTTTTAACATTTGAATTTGTTTTTACAGATATAACTTTGATATCATTTTTTTTTCTTTAATTTTGGGGGGGCACTTATGTGTTATAAAGCTAATATTTCTATGCTGAAGAAATTAACTTATGCTGGTTAAAACAAATTTATTTCAATGTTTTGGGGAAAAACTTCAAAAAAGAAATTCATGAAATATTTTGAAGTTTTGACAAAGTGATTGCGTGTTATCAACTGAAGAAATTGTTTATAAATAAATTGACAATATCTGGTCTCTTTGTGACTTCTCATAAGGCCTTTCAGGAGCAATTCACTCTCATATATTTCCTCAGGCTCACTTTGGTAGGTTGCCACATTTTATATAAATTTCAGGTGGCTAACTTTTTATTTGCTTGTGAAAGCTTACTGCAGTTACAAGTTCCTTTGCATGTACAACTTTTTCAACCTTCTTTCCATATTATGAAATGGAGTGGGCATGGATAGTGATTGACTTTAAATATATGTTAACACATTGCTTGTTGTAAATTTAACGCTTCAGTCCTAAGCACATGTATTAAAAAATATGGTCATTAATTTCATTGGGACTTGTTGTCAATTAAGTGTGCTTAGAGTTGTGAGCTAAAGTTGCTATATTTTACCTCCATGGTCACATATGTAGAAAGTTTGAAATGAGTTTTGAAGCTTGTACTCCTAATACCTTTAGTGATATTAATGATGTCAAACCATTGTACCTTGTCACAATGTGTTTGGTTTTTCTTTATTAGCAAGTACAGTTAGTTATCTTCCCTGCTAATAATGGCTTGTGTAAGCTTTGTTGGTCTCCTATCTGTATCTTGTCTATTTTATATTTGTGTGCCTATTTATTCCACAATAAGCGCTATCATCATGTCTGTCTTGGCTAGCCATAACTATTGATTGATGGATGTATTAATAAAATAATGCCAGATCTCTACAACATAATTTTTATATGAAAAAATAGTTCGATAGAGTAATTCTCAATAATTTTGATCTGAAGCTTTTAATATATATCAAAATTTTAAATTGTTCATTGCTACATTGTGTCACATGTGTAATAATTAGATAATATTCTTTACATACTCTATTCAAAATTCAAGAAAGTGATTCATGAACAATTTTCTTTAATTTCACCCTTTCAAGAAAAAGAAAAATAGTATTAGTTGCAGTTTTAAGAAAGAATATTGATTGATGTAGTCTGATTTAAGTGGAATTTGGTTCTTGGTCCATGCTGTGAACCAAAAAGAATTTAGTTTGCAGCTGAAGCAGTTTGTTAGAATTTCTACAGAATTCTAACTTTTTATAAGGGAATTATTTATCAAATTGCTTTTTTAATGAACTACATGATTTCATGATGCTCTAAAAATTCTTTCTGCTCTTTAATGATTCTCTGTTAAAAACATCAAAAATTAGTGCTTATGTTATGTAGCCTTCCTGTTTCCCCAAAAATGAAAATACCTTCAACAAGATACTGGCAATATTAAATTAAAGGAGTAGTCCAGAGAAATTTTGACTGTATGTCAATAAAATCTAGAAGTTTAGTGGTTTTAAGGCTAGCCATGTGACTGGCTGCTTCACAAAGAATTCTGTCAAATACTTTTTAGTGTGACATATTAATCAAGTTGAACACAAATAATTGACTGCTATTGTTTCTTCCATCAGCAACAACATTTGGCACAGCCTCCATGAGTATGCCCGCAGGATTTGGAACAACTGCCTCATATAGTCTTCCTACTAGCTTTAGTGGTAACTTCCAGCAGCCAGCATTCCCAACTCAGGCAGTTTTTTCTCAGGCTGCTTTCACTCAGCAACCTAATGGTAAATGCTTGCATATCACATTTTGTTTCAAGAATCCAGTGGTTATTTTAAAACAATTCATTTTCTTGGTTAATCTTTGAAACTCTTATCTGCCATGATGTCATTGGTGGGCCAATGAAATATTGTATCTCATGTATAAATGTAACTGGTAATGTACTGGCAGTTCATTTAGTGACCGTTTGAAATTACAACAGCACTGAAAAAAAGTGACTTAGGACTGTTTTTCATACTTAGGACCATTGCAGCATCCCCATCTTCACATGATCAAAATTCAGATGCTTGGCAACTGACTCATAATTTATGATGGTTGTAATGTCCCAGGGTCATGTGATCACCTTTTGCCACCTTCTGACAAGCAGTCAATGGGGAAGCCAGGTTCATTTAGCAATCGTGTTACTAAGGGCTGCAATGATTCACTTAACAACTGTGGCAAGAAAGGTCATAAAATGGGGCAAAACTCACTTCACAACTGCCTCACTTAGTAACAGAAATTTTAAGCTTAATTGTGGTCATGAGGACTACCCGTATATGGAAACAAGTGTGAAAAATCACCTTATCAAACTATATTATTTATTTAAACATTTGTCAGCCACATAGTCATACCAGCTCTGGGTTTGTTCAGCAAAGCTAAAAACATCAGCACTAAAATATAATTAAATAAAAACTATAATAACAAAGCCACTACTTTGGTCTTAAAAGATTGCCAAAATGCAAGTAGGGAAAATGTATTTCAAAGGGGAAGGTTATCACCAAAAAGACTTGTCACCTTGTCTGATTTTAGGAGAGTTGGAACAGAGGGCCAGAATCATATTTTTATTAAAACTTTAAACAAGATTAAAAACCAATAATAAGTAATATAAATTAAGAAAGAAGGAAAGGAAAGAAAGAAAAAAGAGAAAGAAAGAAACAGAAAAAGAAAAAGTTAGAAAAAGAAAAAGGTGAAAAAAGTTAGGAAAAAATTTTAAAAGATAAATTCACAGCAGTTATTACGAATATATTTTAATGAAACTCAAATACTTTAGCCACCAAATGAGAAGAAAGAACTTACTGGAAAAGGTCCTGATGTTGGGAAAGATTGAAGTCAAAATGAGAAGAAGACAGAATATGAGATGGTTAGATGGACAGTGTCATGGACATGAGTTGGGCAGACTGAGGGAGACAATGGAGGACAGGGGCCTGGTGTACTGTGGACATGGGGTTGGACCCCGACTTAGTGACTGAACAACAACAACATAATTATATTACTCTTCTTTCTATAATCTCTCCGGTCTAAATCATTAAAACCATATATCACAAATTCATTTTTTCAGTTTTTACACAGAAAGTCCATAAGAGGCTTTCAGTTGCCAATAAATGTAGATAATGACTTTTCTCTGATCAAACAAGTCAGGTTATTCATTTCAGCAAAATCTGTCAACTTCATCAACCGTGGTAGTGTCAACTCCATTCTGTGCTGGATATTGTTCAATCTTTCCATCTCTATTCCTGTAATGATATCTCCAAATAATCATATATTGAAATAATAATATCTGACTTTTTTTCTGTTTATCCATTAATTAAAGGAACCAGAACCACATTTGATTCTGATATGTCCCAGTGCTGCTTTGTATAGGGCTTTATAAGTAATTCTGAATTGTTCCACAAGTCTATTACAGTCATTCAGTGACTATAAATGGGTGTAACACAATTTCTACTGCAGCTTAAGTAGGAGCTGCAAGGCCAGGAGTACTGCCAAATCTTGGACCATCTGTCCCAACAGCCATGAAACTGATGTTACTGAATCACCTAGTTGTTTATGAACAAGATTTGAAAGGATTTAATTTTAGCTTATTTCCCCAAATCTAATCTCTAACAAGCACTATTTCAGGATATGTATATCATTTCCAGTTTAGTCTAAAGTGGCAACATTTCATTGAGGATCATCTGGATATCAGTGATACCTCATTCCAAAGCCATAAATGACCTATAGAAAAAAAAGAGAAAGTGGTCGTGCAGGTAGTCCTTGTTTCACAATTAATATTGAGCCCAAAATTTATGTTGCTAAGCAAGGCAGTTGTTAAGTGACATTTGCCCCATTTAGGTACTTTTTTGTCTCGGTTGTTAAGTGTATCACTAGTTTTTAAGTGAATCATACCATCATTAAGTGAATGTGATGCTGATTTGGAAGATAACAAATGTGATCACATGACCCCAGGACAGTGCAACTGTCATAAATATATGTCAGTTGCCAAGTGACCGAATTTTATCACGTGACCATGGGATGCTGCAACAGTCATAACTGTGAAAAACAAGTAACTTTTTTCAGTATTGTAACTAAATGAATGGTTATAAGTCGACTGTATGTAATTCTGTTTTTAATTTATTTTTAATATATTTTAATATTTTAATCGGATTCCATGTTCAATGATTAAGGGACTAATTTGGGGGGATGGAGTATATGCATAATGTAATATTTGACATCTGATCTAGAGGTAATTTTTGGTATTTTATTGCAAAGGCACTGGCTTTGCTGCATTTGGACAAGGAAAATCAGTAGTAACCCCATTTGGGCAAGTTACAGCTGTTGGAGTCTCCAGTAATCCTTTTATGGTAAGTATGGGCCAGATTTATGAGTCTTTTAATTCATATACAGTGGAACCTCTGATCATGATCACAATTCATTCCCTAACTTTGGTTGCAACCCGCTTTGGTCATGACCCGAAACTAATTTCCCCACTGGGTTGCATCTAAATACGATTGATCCATTCCGGACCCCTACAGACTGTATATAAATGTTGTTTTTTAAAGATTTTTAATCACAAAAACAGTTAATTATACCATAGAACTCACAATGTAATAGTGAAATGTAAAATCCTTTAATAACACTGATAGCTCCTCCTGCCTTGGGCCAGTCTGGCTGGCTCGTGCAGCATTTCCCCTGCCTTCCTCTCTGCAAGGAAGCCAAGGCGAGAAGAAGCAGCCCAACACATGCCCTCCTTCCACACTCCAAAGCCGAGCGCCAGGGCCTTTCTGTCGCTGGCCTGCTGACGCAGAGAGTTAGCGCTGTCTGCAGCTCCTGGAGGACTGAGAGGAAGGGAGGCGGGAGGAGATCCTGGCTTCCAAGCTGTCGGAATTACTAACTGCAGAGCTTCCTTCCCCTTGCAGTGTGCGCAAAACAACAGTAACAAAAAAGTTGCAATTGAGGCTTCTGTGCTGTCACATGGCTCTCCCGGGGAGGTAGGAGAGGGAGAAAGGCTGCCTTGCCGGAGAAAATGTTAATCTTACAAAACAAGAGAGAAGCCAGCAAGAACAAGATTAAAGGATAACTTTAACATGCGGAATGCCAGACAAGTTTGTTCAGGAGATCAGGGCTTTCTCTATGGTGTAGAAGGGGAAATCAACCGTGGCCATGTTAGATCATGACCTGAGGATCTGTTCATGATCACATGCTAAAATTTTCCAAAAATTTGGGTTGTCACACAATTTGATCGCGAACAGAAGCATTTGTGACCAGAGGTTTCACTGTACATATCTTGAGAAATTGGTTGTCCTCAAAAGGATTCCAAAAAGGGAATACCAAACCCCCCTCAAATCCTAAACCCGCAAATTTTTCTGGGATATTTTAGATTATTTATATTTAATATCTTATTTAATTCTATCTTATGTGTAATATGGTCCTCATTTGATTGACATTGAAAAATTGTATCATCTAAAAACTGAATGTTAGGAGATTTAAATGATATAAATAGGATTTTAAAATATTACTTAATTTAAATAATTAACACAATATTTTGGTTTTCATCAACCTTGAGAGGCAGAGACAATACAAACCTATCATTGAGAAAAGTTTGATTTTGATAGCTATACAGAAATATAGTTCATAGTTTGAAATGATACGACTATGTTTCTGCACCGCAGGAATAAAAGCACTATCAGTATGACATTTCTGTTTCATGAATTATTCAACTCTCAACTATTCATATAATTTATATTTGAATCTGGTTTGTCAAGATGCATGTGTAATTATTTTTTGTGACATTTCTCTCTCTCTCTCTCTTTTTTCCTTTTAGGCAGGAGCAGCAACGGGACCTTTTCCAACAGGAAGCTCATCAACCAATCCTTTCTTATAGCCTTATAGACACTTTACTTAAAAGAACTCTATGTGATCACATAACATCTCTATGCCTCTTGCACTGTTGTCTTGTTTCACTGACCTTAGCTTTAAACACAAAATAAGTCTTTCAGAAAAAAGAAAAAAAAGTCTGCATTGTGTGTTAAAACCAAGGAATACCAGGTGATGTACAAAACATGGAACTGTGGTAACAGCCATTATTGTGCAATGGCAGGAGAATGTTAATAGTATCATGTATATTAAAAATTGGCTAATATTAAGTTATTGCAGATATCATTCATTATGCTGCAGTATTGTACATATTTTTCTCTTAGGAATTAGTTATTTGTGCATATCAGTATTTGTAACTTTTAACACAGTTATGTGAAAAATGTTACTGGGAAAAATAGATCAGCCAGTTTAAGGTGCTGTCATATATCTTGGAATGAATGGCCTATATCATTTTAACATTGCTTGTTGGGATTTATGAATTCAGAACTGAAGTTTTATTCATTTCTTGGAGTGTTTTTTTTCCCCATTTCCTGAAGAGCTCTTCTATTTATACATGCCTAAATTCTATATAACGTGGAGGGATACCTGTCTGCATAATAAAGCTCATCATGTTTTGCTACAGATTGCAGGTGGAAAAAATAAATATTAAAAAAGTTTGTTGTTGTCAGCATTTGCACTAACCAATTTTGTTAATTTTCAAAATTATTGACAAAATCTTGAAATTGCATTATTTTCTTGGCTGTTTCAGTAAGGTTGCAAATTGTTAACAGTAAATCCTGTTAACAATAGGAATTTACCTACTGATCAATCAGTAAAATATGAAATTTTCTTTATTTTGAAAACTGTCTAACAAATCTAACTTAAAATGAGTAGTACAGAATATATTTCATTTCCTTTATTGTTTAAATGTCTTCATTTCAATTTGCGGTCATTGTTCATTCTAATTACTTAAAACAAGTTGGTAAGATTGATTTTGCAGCATTATTGAAACCAAACAGCCAGCAAATACTTAATAAAACCAAACTTTAGCTTTGGTATGGATATGCATACTGTGGATTTTGAATGAATATTGTACCTCCTTACCAGAAGAATTATTGTTCAGCAGTTATTTGCAAGGTAAATGCCATGGCAGCGTATTTATTGATGAAAGCTGATGGAGCAATGTTTCTGTAGATTTTAGGTAATTTGTAACTTAAATATTTAATGTTTGTCAATAGAAATACAAATCTTGTACGCAATTAGATTATCCGTGCAAATATAAATCCACACACAGTGTAATTCATTACTTCATAAAATTAAGTGACCTGAAGATTTGAACCAAGATGATTAATATACCATGTTTTTAGAGTGTATTGATACAGAAAAGATCTTAATTTCTTTCAAAGGATGGTTGATTAATGGGGAGGAGAAGGTGTTCTCTTTAAACACATTGCTTCAGATTGTCATTAGCATTAATCTGAGATATAAAAATAGTACTTAATATCCTTGCTAGTGGAGAAGATTATTTGGAACATTGAAATAGTACATCCCTACATATCCTATACTTTGGGTAGAATGTAAAGTACTGTAAAGTAAAGGATTTTTCAAAATGTTTCCTCTAAGATTTTAAAAGGAAGATGGAAATTAGAATAGAGAGAATATGTTTGGTAAATTAACAGTTTCTGTCTGGAATTACCAGGTTAGTGGATTTCTGAATTTTCTGTAGCCTTTTTGAGAGAGATAGTTTAAAAGGCAAACAGAACATCATATTTGGATGTCTGCTAACCTGTGGTAGTGCTGATTTGGAGTATGTCCCAAAAAGGCAATTTTGTGTGTTCCAGTATATGCAACATTTGTCTTAATTTCAGTGAGTGCATCTTGATGAAAAGGTAAATGGAGTCAAGTTAAGAATTTTCTTGTAATTTTAAATCATGAAAAAATATGTCATTTTCATGCATACATACTTTAATTTTCAGGAATTTGGGTGAATCCTTGAAATTGCAATTAAAACTTTACACCTGTATACAGAATCTGGCATAAGTGTCAGCAAAGAACCACTTTTTTAAGTGGTTGAAGAACCTCAGCTTTTTAATGGAACAATAATTCTGTAGGAGAATGTTTTTAACTCATCCTTGGTATTGTATTTCTACCCTCTTCCCCCTTTTAGACTGCTGTTGACTCTGCTGGGAGGAATGGGAATATAATGCATTCACTAAGATGCCTTGAATTTTAAGAACAGGAATTTTCCTTTTCTGCTGCTTTTCATTTCTAAATTTTAAAAAAATCATTGCATCAGTGCTTAAGCATAAAGTGGTATTTTTATTGTTGAACTTAATATAATTCTCATGTTGAATTTTTGTTTCAGGTGATAACAGACTTTTCTATGCTCTTTCTAGAAATTATTTTCATTCTCTGAGTAATATTTACATTGAACAACTGTTTTTTAAAAAATTGAAATTCAGTGTGTGTGTATTATAAATAAAGCAGTCTTGCAGCATGTAACTGCAAGCACCAATTGGCATAGTACTGTTTGATAGAGAGAATCCTGGAATTCACACAAGTGGCAGATGAATAAATCTGAGATAACAGTACAATACCCATCCTCATTGAGCTCCCCAGTAAAACATGTTCAGCAAGTTAAATGGAATCTAACATGGATGCACATCTTATTGGGCACAAAACATTTCTGCAAAATATCTGCTAATATAATTTTGGCTGTTGCATCAGATGAATTTTTCAGAAATTTTATACTCTACACTGCTATATTTAGATACTTAAATATTAAGAGGCATTTTTAAAAAAAGACCCATTCTGGTATTCAAATTGGTGACTGGGCAATTGTGTTACGTTTTAATCGGGCTTTACTTTGCCACTGAGAAACTTGCATTTCCAGTACTGTGTGCCCCCTTTTTTTAAAAAAAAATCATCTGTGTCTTATTGAACATCTTACTTCTTGGATGGTTAAATTAAATATATTTCAGTGTGAGGTAAGACATTTGCAGTATTTAAAAAAGTCAGATATTTAGTTAAAAAATAAAAAGCCCTATCCATGATTCAAATGATTTAGTGAGAGTATCTTTTTTCATACTTATGAAATGATCTACACTATGGTGAAAAATCATTTTCAACGTAGTGGAAAAATAAAAAAGAAAAATGAGGTAGTCCTCTACTTATGACCACAATTGAGCCCACAATTTATGTTGTTAAGACATTTGTTCAGTCAATTTTGCACCGTTTTATGATTTTTCTTGAGTCACTGCAATTGACAAGTTAGTAACCCAACTGTTAAGTGAATCTGGCTTCCCCACTGACTTTGCTTGTCAAAAGGTCACAAAATGTGATCATATGAACTTGGGACACAGCAGGGGTCCTAAATATGAACCAGTTGCCAAGTATCCGGATTTTGATCACACGATCATGGGGATGCTGCAAAGGTTGTAACTGAAAAACAGTCGTAAGTCACATTTTTCAGTGCTGTTGTAACTGAACAATCACTAAACAATCTATTGTAAATTGAGGATTACCTGTATAATTTGGAGTTCATCTCCTGAAATAGTGGTGTGCGCTCAGTATTCCCTACGTGTTATTTTAAACCCCTTAGTGAACTTTGTTGTTTAAAGATACTTTCAGATCCTACGCTTTCTCCAGAGTTTTTATTTTCCAGACATAAAGACCAAAATCTCTGCAAGAATTAAGCATCTGTTTTTCCCCTTGCTTTCTATATTGCCAACAACATTCTCTATGTGTTTTTATTTTATATTATTTTAAAGCCTATTTTATTGTATGCCAGTCAGTTATGTAAGCTGCTAGTTATATACAATAAATCACTTAAGTAAATAATCCTTGCAAAGTAGTTTGAAAAAGAAACATGAAAGTGCAGCCCTTAGGTAGGAGTCCATCTTTTTAACATATCATTATTGTAGACATATTGTTTGCTAATTAAGCTTGATAATATTAGTGCATATTGCAATAGTTTCCAGATAGGAGATATTTAAAAATGTTTTTCCTAAACTTCAAACTAAGAATGAATCAGTCATTGTGTTTTAAATGTTTTTATTATCATAAAAATTAAAGACTGATGTTCTTTAGTAGAAAATTCATTAAACAATATTTACTATTTCTTAATAGATTGCATCATATCCCCATACGTCAAAAAGTACAGTAATCTGTAAGCTTCAATTTTCTCACCATCTTTTATAATGGATGATTTTTTCCCCATACTTCAAACATTTTTTTATTTGATATTTATAATAAAATAGTGCCATCATTTTATTTTATTTTTATTTTGACTATATGCTCAAGGCAATTAGCAAATACAATTAAACTACATATTAAAACAAACTTCATGAAATTAATAAAAATTAAACTATTTTAAATGTTTGAAACAAAATAATGAAAAGACGTATAAACAAGCATGTTTTGAGCTCCCACTACCCATTAGTTTAAATGAGGGAGAATTGTTTCATTTCTCATGACAGTTTATTCCAGAACAAGGAAATTATAAAAGCAGAATTTATGAATCTATGCAGAATCTATGGATGTGAAATCTATCCATGGTGGTAGCAACAAAAAATGCTCAATGATCTGAGACTGAACAGGAAATTAGACTAAAGATATCCTGTCAACTTGGTCCTAAGCTTTGTAATGCTTTGTATACACTTAGAAGCATCTGTAAGTAGGCTCAGAAATAACCAACATCTAGTAAAATGGTTTCTGTGAGGGTATTTTTTTTAAAAAAATTAGAAAATTACACAGCCAATGAATGGCTGTGTAATCACTTAAAGCAGGTTAAAGGTAAAATATTTATTTTACTTATTACTAGAGAAGAATATGAAAAGAATAATGGGAACAACAAACAGGGATTGGAAACGATGATAGTTCTTGAGAATATCAGTTTGATCAATGACAAACCTTCAAGGTGATGCCAAATATGAAACAAAGGAGTCCCAAGAGTGAATCCCTACATAAACTTTAATTCTAATTATTTCTCCTAGTAACTGATAGGTTGAGAAGGCTCAGTGAGACAATGTATATAAACATTGGTTTTTATCAAGTTTCAACATGAGGGTACTATGGGCCCTGGGAGGCACTGCTCACCATACAAGCTGCTTGATCCAGCGCCAATCATATGTTCAGACTATTCTCAAGAGTGACCCGATAAGCACAGTGCACTTATCCATCCACTAAGAGTGTCACAATTACAATGCTATCTATTTGCAAAACACTTAACTGAGCAAAAATAATAAAGGTGGGATATAAATAAATACATTTCCATTTTTTTCTGAGCATAGTACATGCACATAAAATAATCCTGACTTTAAAACACATGCACATCTCTCCCCAATCTATTGCATTGAAATGACTTTATTTACTACCATCTTTATTAAAAGATTTAAGTAAGGCTTAAGCTAATGGTAAAACTGAACATGGAACAAAATCTGTTCTGTTTTTAACCCCAAACATATCCCATAGAAGTTCTGCAGTATTATCCCTGCAGTTTCCAACATTGCATTATCCAACAATCCTTCCTTCATTTCCTCAGCCATTGTCTGTGTGCCTATTAAGGATATTTCAGCAATTCCTAGTGCAGCAAATCCCACTAGCTGTGTGTTTCTGATCTTTCCAGTGCCTTCCCTCTCCTTAGTGCTCCTTGGTGTCTGCCTGATGAAAGAGGTGAGAATGGGTTCTCTATAGCACTCTTCTCTCTCTTTCCCTTAGGCTTCATCATTAGGGCAATCATGTTTCTGTCTTTATCCAGATCAAAATAACTTCTTTCATTCTATAGACCAAAAGCTTCAAAATGATTTTTTTTCTGTTAAGATATGAACTATTCAAAACAGCTGTTTTCTGCCCACAATACTTCGGCATGAATGATTATGCACATCCGGAGTGAACAAAGTTCTCTTGAAAACTTAAAATGAGAAATCAATATACTTGAAACAATAACCATAAAACAAAAACATCAACTCCTCACAAGAAGAGTGAGGACCAGTAACAATTCCCCAGGGAGTGTAGCCCACAGTTGGGGACACAGCACTGAGCTATACAGTCATGCTCTATAAAATGTCCTCCACAGCTGAAGGTATCTTCAAAATCCCTTGCCTCAGTCAGGTGTGTAACGAGGCAAGATTTCAGACAGTCAAGTTTTCATCCATTCAGGATTAAAAAATGGGAAATATAGCTCTCCAATTCTCACTGAATAACAGATCTGAAGAGCTTGAGCCAAAATAATGGAGTTATAGTTTTATAATGGAGGACTATAAAAGTTATACCAAGAACTTAAAATAAAGCCAGAAATAATTAGCAACAGCTTGAATCTCCAAAACTAGGGAAATACTTTCAATTTTCATTAGTTAAATGGTATTATAAAGAACTATTTAATGGCAATTACAAATGACCCTCAATCAATTATATGTAACCAACATTTCCTCATTTCAAATGTAACCATCTTAGGTTGGACACATTGAGAATTCTGATATTTTAATACAGTTACGTCATAACCACAGAATTTAAAATCACATGAGAATATACAAGTTAATTTTATGTGCAAATGTGACTTAAAGTCACTGAGTCATTTGTTCAAATAAATGATTGTTCAATTTAGCTTCAAAACTTTTGTTTAAGGCGCTACATTCTTGTGCTATGAATCTCTGTATTCTGCCATTGTGCTTTCATTTGAAGACTTTCAGCAGGGTTTTCCTTTTTACATTTCGTTGAGATTATGATATAAATGCTTCTGCTTAGAAAAATCCCAGCTATAACTGCAAAGTAACTTCCATATATTAAGAACTGCAATAAAGCAGAAGAAGAAACAAGCTATTTTTCCCTGGAAAAATCTCAACTTTATTATACTGTAATATTTTTCAACTATTTTGCCTATTAGTATTATATCTAGTGTTTTTTAAATGTCAAAAAATGAAACCTAGGAACCTTGGCTATAGTAATAACCTTAAGCAACTGTCTTTGCACAAACCATGTGAGATTCCTGAATATGTATTGATGTTCATAGCTAACTGGTATAATCTCTTGAGTACAATCCCAAAGGTTTCATTAAATATTTATAAAATGAACATCAAGTGATATGCACTGGGATAAAATGAGTTCATATCTACATTTTAAATGGTCAAAACCAGTGGTGGATTTCAGTTTTTTTTACCACTGGTTCTGTGGGCATGGCTTGGTGGGCAGAGGGTTTGCTACTAACAACAAAAAAACCCTTTAAAACCCTTCATGGCTTGCAACCGGGTTATCTGAGGGAATGTCTCTTGCCGGTCACATCTATCCAACCCATTAGAGCGGGGAGGCAGGGGATGTTGCGGGTCCCACCCTTGAGGGAGATACCCCTGGTGAGACCCAGAAGAAGGGCCTTCTCTGTAGTGGCTCCGTCCCTCTGGAATATCATTCCCCCAGAGATTAGCACCAAAAGGCACTGAAGACCTGGTTTTGCCAACGGGCCTGGGGAACCCAGAGTGGGATGGAGCCCATCAAATGGCTAGTGTGATCTTCTATAGTCACGACAGGGGGTGGGATTTGGGGGGTGATTTTTTTTTATTTTTTTCATCTTTTCCAAATTTTGTTCTATTGTACTTTATTAATTTATTTGATTCTTTTTGTTAGTTTTTATTTTTATTTTTTTTTGTTTTAAATATGGTTTTACATTGTGTAACCTGCCTCAAGTTGCCATGGGCAAATAGGTAGCAATATAAATGAATGAATGAGTAAATAAATAATTAAATAAACAACCTGCAATCCTGCACTCTTCCTGTGTCTTCAACAGCTGATGCACGGCAATCTGCTATGCCGCACAAAGCAGCTAAGGTTAAAAAGCAGGAAATAAAGGTCAGTATAAAGCTGGGGTGGGTGTGAGGCAACTGATCGTCAGAGTGAAGCAGCTGATTGTCAGAGTGAATCAGTTCACTCACAGATGATTGTTGGAGCTATTGGTTCGGCTGATCTGGGCCAAACCAGTGAAATTACACCACTGGTCAAAACATTTTAAAATGGTATGAAAAGGGCATAGCATAATCCAAAGGCTACTAAAATGTCTTATACACAAGTTTGTGTTTGGACAAAGAACTAATTTACTATGAGAGCGTTATCTGTGGTTCCAGGGCTATTCCTATATGTAAAAAATATCTTAAGAATAATTAAATTCACCTTTCGTGAGACTTGGATTGATTAACAACAACAAACGTGCCTTTTGTTACAGTGCCTTCTTCAAATCATAAGCAATGCATGCCTTAAAATAAAAATTGTTACCTAAGAAACAGTGAACAGAAGGTCTAGGATTCCATATTTCTTCCCATCTCAGAATTCAACGTCATCTACTTGTGATATTTAAGCAGCTCCTTACATTTACTGATTAAAGTCCACTCATTCAGCAACTGTAGTTAATCATGACACTGAATGAGGGGGGCTTAAGACAGGTCCTTATTGTGTTGATTGTCTCGTAATTGTAATATGGATGCCTGGCAATTGGCTCACAATTTTGATGTCACAGCATCCCACAATGATGTGATGTCATGTGCAAACCACTTTGGCTTCTGACAAGCAAAATCAATGAGGAAGGTGGCAAGATGTTGCAAATGGCATTCATGTGTTGTGCTTTATGGCTGCATCAGTCAGCAACATAATTCATTTCCCAAAGGTGTGTTTTTCAAGAGGCAACAGGACTTTCTAGTTTTTCTTTGAAGACATTTTGCTTCTTATCCAAGAAGCTTCTTGGGTGAGAAGCAAAATGTCTCCAAAGAAAAAACAAAGTCCACATGCCTCTTGAAAAAGCACCTTTGGGACAACCATGACCTGGATGACTGAGGATCTCCATAGACATTTAACAAAGTTCCTGGTTCTAATTACAGGTAGTCCCCAAGTTAAGAACATCCCACTTATAAACAACTCATATTTATGAATGGACTATTATTAAAAATGGTGGGCAGCATTCTCTTTTTTCAAGCTAAAGAACTACTGAAGTCACACTATGTTTTCATGAACCCCTGAAGCTGTGCATTTTTAATATACAGCCAATTTTCAATGGTTTAATAGGCAGTCTGTTCATAAGTATGAGTTCTGATTTACATATAAATTTGACTTAAAAACCTTAGGAATGGATCTTATTTTAACCCAGGTATGGCTATAGTTTAAGCAGAATAATTTTTCATTTTGCTTTCTTATATTTCCTAATTTAGTTTTTGTTATGATTACTCAATCTTTGTGAGGATTTATAACTGAGTAATAATATATTTGTTTTTAGTAAGAAATTAAAATGAGTGTGTTGACTGATAGGCTTAATATCAACCTTCCAAAACACAAGTACAGTGGCTGCATAGTTTGAAATTTTCAAGTCCATTCATATCAGAAAGTGATCTCTGAAAAGATGTGAAAGTCTTCAGAAACACTGATTCAGCAGCAGCGCCCATATTACCTGTCCAACTTACCTGAGTCCCAATATCCAGGCCCAGACCTTTTGAATCAACTACAATAATAGTCAGTATAGTTTGAATTAGCAGTGCAACAAAATTGTTGAAGCCAAACATCAAGGCATAGCGCTCCATGCTGAGATTGATAGCAATCTGGAATCTAAAATACAAACTTTGGTTAGAATATTGAATATAGTTTTGGGAGATGAAGTTTCTGCATATGAGAAGAGTATAACTACGTGAATTCTGCAAGGTATATTAGTAACATTGAAATATTGTCAAAGACTATTGAGCTGGAGCAAAATTTGGAGAATATAAGTGAATTTTACAAATGCAGTATAAAATATCCACACCCACACACACATACAGCACAATGTAATTATGAGTAATTGCTTAACCTACACTGGCTCATTAAGATACAATAGCAGAAGTGTACTAAGATTGCTAAGGATAAGAAAGTGAATGACTTTTTCAGAATCACGTTTACCTTGAAAATAGATAACTGAATAAATGCATTTAACTGATTTAACAACAAAAGAATTGTTAACTGAAGAAACAATGAGATTACACATTCCATGTTTGTGTTAGCATTGATGCAACTAGGTACTTTTAGGCTCTGGAATAAACAGCTCAAATGAGGGTAGACAAGTTTCCTTTAAACCAGTCTCAACCTCAGCAACTTTAAAATGTGTGCACTTCAATTCCCAGAATTCCCCAGCCAGCGTGAGAGTTGAAGTTCATACATCTTAACAGTTGCTGAGATTGAGAAATACTGCTTTAGACAATCATGTATGGTACTTGGGATTTCACATACCTTGTTATAAAATAGAACTATACATTTAACAATAAAAGATAATAGAACACATCTATTTTTGTCCATAATAACTGGCTGCCCCTGATTATTAACTTTATTTAAAATAATAAAATTAATAAATAAATTCAGTCCTCTTGATGCCATTTATGGGGTCTTCTGAACAAGATGTCATGAAACTCTTTCATACTTAGTGCAGTATGTTGGCGGGGGAATTCTAGTCATTGAAGTCTGTATATCTTAATGTTGCCATGGTTGAAAAACACTATGTTAGGGGAACAAAATCTCCATTTCTTCCATAGCTTATGCCATTACATAAAATAAATCACCTCAATTCTAGCAAGATGTACTATAAATGGTAGCAAATTAACACTGGTAATTGAAAGTTACTTACGTGGCTATGGTTATAAGGAGCATATAACAGGCTTTGAACACTAAATAACTAGCATAGCAGACCCAGATGTTCTGGATAAAATGCATCACAATAAGTGAAGTAGCATCCAAGGCAGAGAAGATTCCCAGTGCCAGTTCTCCGGTTAGATCCCAGTTCAGTTTCACATATCCCACAGCTAGTGATGCTATTGAACCTAGGAGTAGAAAGACTCGCCTGTTGCATTTTGCAGGATTGTAGCATGTACTGAAAAGTGTTTAAAACAACTCCCTATTTATTTAAACATGTAAACATGTTTAAACATGATTGCTCCTTTAATAGGCAGACAAGATGAACATGATACCCAAATTTTGATCCCATGATAACATTGTTCATATAACAAAAACTAAACCTTTTTAAAAAATTTCAAATTAAAAAAAATATTCATAAAAAATATGATGGTAGCAGCATCCCATGGTCATACGATTGGCATTTGTGATCTTCCCAGGGGCTTCCAACAAGCAAAGTAAATGGGAGAAGCCAGGTTTGCTTAACAACAGTGTGACTTGCTCAATCATTGCAGTGAACAATGGTCATTGGAGGTGACTGATTTAACAAACCATTCTGCTCAGCAACACAAATTATGGCTCCAATTATGGTCATAACATGAGGACTACTTGTATTATAATACTCTACAATAAGCTCCATTGAAATAAACAACAATTTATATATATCAAAATATGTATATGTTTGAATAACATGTGGGATTTTGCATGAATTTAGTGTTTAAATTGCGTGTACTTAACATATATTGTTGGATAATGTATAAACTTTAAGCTTACTTACTCAGAAATGTAGCTATGGCTTCAACAGCTCCATTATAAACTTCAGAACTATGAGAAGGTGCTTTATCATCCCACAGTACTTGCACATAATTCAAAATTTGGTTAAATCCTGCAGTAGCTAAAGCCCACCACATTGACCAGTAAAGAAGTTTTTTAGTGGTATAACATTCTTTCAGATCCATGCACAATTGCTTTAGGATTGACAGAAAGTGATTCTGGATTTTAATTTTGGATGGCTCGCATTCAGGTAAATCCTGGGGCCTGGCCACTGATATTGTCATCTCTTTGTCCTGTTTATTGGTTGTTTGGTTGGAAATTTGTGCTGTAACTTTCTCTGCTGATCCAATGAAAAGTTCTGGGGAAGACTTTCTATGGAAGAACATGCTTTTTTGTGGCATGGGCAGAAAAAATGAAGATATAAATGCCATAGACACAGAAGCTAAAGTTATGACATTGAGATAAAAATAAGGTACCTGGCCTAAAGAAACTAAAAGCTGTCCAAGAAGAGATCCCATGGTGGATGCCACCAGGGTGATACTTCTGCAATAACCTGTCACTTTCTGATAATAATCAGCACTGACAACGCTGTATATATAAGCATAATAGGCAACTTCTGTGGCTGTTGCAAGTCCATACATAAACTCTGCCAGCTGCATGGCTGATATGCCAGATGCAAACAAAAGTAACACCCAAGTAACAATTAAGCTAATTCCCTGTAGAATAATTATAGGTTTATAGCGTGCATAGTCTGTAATCAGAAATACAGGGAAGAGCAAGGCCAGGTAGGAGTACGTCCAAACTGGAAAAATATGCTGTGTTACCTAGAAGATAAAAAAGAGAAATTATATAAAGCAGAACTATAAAGTATGCATATAATTATACCCAGATCTATCAGAAAAGCCATGTTGTTATGGCTTCATGAAAGCCCAATAGAGTTAGAGTCATGAAGACCTCTGGAAGAACATTGTTCCACAGGGCAGGGTCAGCTACCATCAGGGAAAGTTTTTTACAATCATGCTTAAAAGTTTGTGAAACACCTAATTTGTCTAGTTCAAGTTTAATTTCCTCTTCAAATGAATTCATAATCCTAGAGATTTTGCTATGCATAAATACCTAGCTTTGGATCATGTTCCTCACTAACTAAACAAACTAGTATACCGGTAAGTTTTTGACTTATTTGTTTAATTGGTTTCTGTTTATCTAGGACTTATTTAGGATGTATGAAGAATAGATCATGTTTTAGGTAATATTTATGCAGAAATATTGAAAATTCAAAAAGGTTTGCAAACATTAAAGCATTACTGTAATACCACAAAACAACATTGCCTGGAAACTAGAGTAAGACAAATCTAAATCTAGAAATAAGATCAGGTACAACAGAAGAAAGCTCGTCCCAGCAAGGCCTTCAGCCATGAAGTATATGAAGGTAGAGGAGAAGCAACTATGAACTACACCTGGAAAAATACCAACAACCAGTGCAATTTGTGGAGAAGTGGTAAAGTTGATGAAATGTAAAATATTTGTGGCTACTTATGCAGCAGAATCATGGACCACCAAATTACATCATGGATTTAACATGCATGCATTTCAACTGGTATCTTTGGTGGGGGGGGGGGGTCACAAAAGCCCTCCACCAACTGCAGCTTATTTCTACCCAATAAATTCCCTCACATATAAAGTATATTTCACCATACCTCATCAATAGTCAGATTTTTTTCAGGTCCAGTAAGGTAAGGTGTGAGGAAAGGTTCAGATGGCCTCATCATGGTAAAGAAGCCATAAATACAAAGGATCAGAGTTGGAAAAATCCACCCACTCTGATGTACTTTCTGCCAACAGTCCATGGCTCTCAGGTAAATTTTAAAATGCACAAAAATAGAAGAGGTCTTGATTTTTTTTAAAGTCTATTTCACAAATGTGTATAGTGAGATGTTTTCTTAGAGGATGAAGAATTGAAATTGTACAGGAATTATAATAAAAGTCATGGAAACAAATGCATAGAAGCCGTTTTAGCATTCATTTGATCTTGTTAGCCTGTATCAGGGTTCAAAAAAAAAACACATTTCAGTGGGATGTCCCACAAGGTAACATCACAACTAATGAACAATTACACTTTTTAAAATTAATGTCTTCTTATTTCCCCAATCAAAATTGATGTCCCCAATACAGGGCAAGATAATAAGGATTGTTTACAAAATTACAGAGCTTCTATTTGTTAATTAACACTTGAAAACATTTCTTCTGAGTTTATAGTTTACAAAATAAACATTAATTAAAAAAAGAAAAGAAAATATTATATTACAGTAAAACTTCAGTTGTATTTAGGTACTTACTTAAAGGTAAGTACTTTAGGTACTTATTTTAGGAAGTTACTTAATTAGCTGGATGACTGGGCCAGTCTCTTTCAGGCCAACTCACTTCACAGGGTTGTTCTTGGAAAAATAGGAGAAGGAACATGTGTTGGATATGTTCATTGCCTTGAGTTATTTATAAAAATAATAAAGTTGGGATACAAATGAATAGATAGCTTAGACTAGATAATCTTGTTGGGTCATCTTTTGAGAAAAAGATTATATGACAAAAATGATCACTATTTTTTAAATTTTATTTACTTGTATCCTTTATTTTTTTTTTACAAATAACTCAAGGCAACCAACATATCTAATGCTCTTTCTTCCCCACAACAACATTAAAGTTTTGGCTGACTACATTTTTCTTACCATAGTACTTGATGGTTGCATGATCATCTAAGAAGAGTTTATATCATAAATAAAAACAGTACTGTAGTGGAAAACAAAGTTCAATGATAAGTCAATATTTACTTATCTAAACAGATAAACAGAATGACCAGAGGTGGACAAAAGACCTGTGATTGTGGGAGTATTTCCAACTCCTCGCTAGTTTCCCATTGATTTTGCTGGCTTAGAAATCATGATCATGTGACAGAGGGGACACTGCAATGGCCACAACTTTGTGAATAAAACTAGTCTGAATATTGAGGAAATTTAATTCCATAGAAATAATTGTAATTATTTTACAGTTTTACAATTGTAATGGCAATTGTAATCTAACGAGAAAATAAATAGCAAGCAAACAACATAAATATTTGATGGAGGCAAAAACCCAATAGAGTCTCTTGTGCTTAGCTCAATGGGACTATATTCCAATATTTAGGCACAAGAAAAAATACCCAGAAGCATTAGACTGGAGGTTAAAATGTGGGACTGGATCCAGAGAAATCTAATTTAAAAACCAGCATCAGCAAGAGAAGTTCATAAGGAAGCCAGTCATTCTCGCAGCCCAAGTATCCTCACAGCTGTTCTTGCAGAGAAAATAAGAGAACTGGGTGCTGTTTATGTTGGTTTAGTTTCAAATCATGTGCAGGATATAAGTATGAGAAATATTTTTTAAAACATATATTTACCATGCTATGCTTTCCAGTTCCTTAGGTTGTTGCAAAATTGTAAGTAACCATCTTCTCTGTTTGCCTCAAATGAAAACGCCTTCAGGGTTTCTCGTTAAATAATTACCCTTGCTTCTCATCAATACATTTCTTAGGTTTTCAAGTTTCAATATCTAGCTTGAGGCAAGAATTTCTGTAGATGTCCTCCTGACATTTCCAATTGTTGATTATTTGTCTTTTTGATTTAATGAATTTAAAGCTTGCTTTATGTTGCTGAACTTCCCTTCATATTCCCCTTTGCCTGGTAGTGGTTATTCCAGTTTTTCACGTTTTAAAGCTGCCACTCCCTAAAAATATGGCCCTGTTTAAATATCCTCCCCTTAAATTAAATAGAAAAATTGTCAGTGGTTGTCTAATTTAAATTCACAACTTAATTAGATTAAATTATTTAAGACTTCCATCCTTTTAAGGAGACAATGCTGTCAGGGTACTGTTCTGTGTGAAGCAGGCCTCAAATCCACCATTCATAGAGCAACCCATAGAAAAGGCAATTGTGGATTTAAATAGATTTACAGTAAAAATTCATGTGCTAGTTGTCTTGTCAGAATGTATCAAATGCATGAGGCATGATATTTTATTGTAGGAGAAAGCAGCTTAATTATTTCATTTTCCAAATAACATTGTCATCATTTTTATTATATGTTTTATTTCATTCTGCTGTTCACTGCAGAAATTTGAAGCATAATTTGAAGAAAGACTTGACAAATGTTTCTTTTCCAGCCAGCAATTATCTTTATGCTTTCCAATAAAAAAAATGCTGGAAAGAAACTAGATAAATGGTATTGGAACTCTATCTGTCTCATTGGTTGGTAGGATATGAAATAAAGTCAATCTTAATGTGATGGGAGAAGTCAACTAAATGGAAGATCAAAATAAAAAAAAATGGACTAATCTCACTAGGAGGCAGTGGTGGGAAAAAAAATCTAGAACAAATTCCCCGCCAGTGCATCCATATTAGACAAGTTGAATAACACCACCAGTTGTCCTTCTCTTAGACTCAGAATGGAGCCTCTATAAAGAGGTTCCTGAAGCCATGCTATGGCAGAAAGAGAACGTATCATTTCAGGACATTTTTCAAAAACTCCATCTTATTCCTTACCCACATCAAGAAGGTCAAATCCGTACGAAGGAAGGGCAAACTTTAAGATTTTCAACACGTTGCTCTTATGGGCTTATTTTTTCATAAAATTACATAAACAACTTATACCTGTCATTACATGTGTCTTTATGTATAGTAAGTCAAGGGAATCAAATCGAAAGCAAAAATAGCGCTTACACTCCATTAAATTGCAATTATCTTAGTTTAAAAAAATCAATCAATTCAAGCAAATAAGCAATCTCCTTTACTGTACTTCCTGCCTTCAAAGGCATTGAATATTTATGCCATCAGGAGACAAATTGCAAGCAAAGATACAGGAAACATTATTGAATGCATTTCTTCATACCTAAAGAATGAAGACAAGCTGTGAAAGTGAAAAGTGAAATAAGAAATCAAATTATTCCATACTGGCAACATCGCTATTTTCAAAGTTACCAATTTGGTAAAATAATTCTTTGAAGGAAGTCAAGCCTGAGCTTTAGAGAGAGTAACTAATTTGGCAAAGCCAATGAAGGGCTGCAAACTAATTCTGTCCAAAACATGCAGAATATTTGCAGAACAATTAAAAACACTCATGAAAAAATTCAGTGATGACCCACAACTCAAGGCAGTATAAATTCACTTACCTATATATGACACCAAAAGAAGTCACATAGTACAATTAGAGTATTCTGGATCCAAAATCTAATTTAATGAAAGAACCATTGGGTTTTGGAAAGAGAAATGGCAAATGGGCTGTACATTTAATTACACTTCCTTCATGATATTCTTGTTGATCATATAGAAGTGCCCTAGCAGCTATTTTGCTAGCTACATTTTTCTACCTGGACAAAGGTAACTATAACTTCAGTATAATTAAATACAAGAATTAATTTTAGAGGAATTTTAAAAGGCGAATTGTGGGCAGAGGTATTACGTTTATTAACCTAAAGGGAACCAAGGTGTGTGTATGAATTTCATTTCTCTCCAATGATCCCTGATTGCTCATGCTTCAATTGAATCTATACAGTTCTCTTGGAAATAGCCTTTGCCACTTATAATTTGGTGAAATGGGCAGCAAACAAGTCAAATAAATAAATAAATAAATTGTAATTTAATTTACATTTTCTGTTCTTTCCAAAGAAATACATATTTTTAAATTAGAACATAATATACAAACCAAGTATTCATATTGTTTTAACTCTTCAAATTATTTTAAGTTTAAAGACTTTAAATGCTTTAATTATGTAATTAAAATACAAATTATAATAACATAAATTAATCATAGTTTTTCTGATATATGAAGTAAGGCAGAGAATGATGATAAAGAAAAAAATAGTGGCAAGTTGTACCTGCAGAAAATCTTGCTTCCTGACTCTACTTCTCTCCCAATGTCTCTCTGTTTCGCTCACCTTCATATTGCTGATGACAGCTTTCATTTAGTAAAAATATTTGCAGGGAAAATTGAGGAGGGAGTGACAACTGCTTTGATCTCTGATCAAAGAACAGTTAATTGTTTTCATTACAAAGGACAAAGATATGTTTAAAACAATGTTTAGTGATATCCACAGTTGCTATACTTCAAAGTCCATGCGATAAAGCAGCTGAATGTAATATTAATTAAAAGTTAGTAGCAATGTTACAGAAACTCTTTTTATGGCTAAGCTATTTTCTGGAAATAATTTCCTTGATTTGTTCAATCCACCAACAAATCATGCCAAATCATATTTCACTACTGATATGAGAGAAATATAGAAGTGAAGTATCACATGGAAGAACATTTCAGGTAACCCTACTAACTAAATCAAAATAAATTATGAAACTTCCCAGGAATTTCTGGAGCTTTGCTGACCACCTCTTAATTTACTGTCAGTGTCTAGAGAACTTTTGTTGCTATGGTGCTGTCTCATTGAGGGATGGAGAGAAAGAGATTCTATATGGCATTGAAGAGTAGAATGCAAAGCTAGGAAAGGGCTTTGGGGACCAAACAAAAGGAAACATTAAAAGCAAGGTTTACAGTTAATTGAAATAGGAAGATTAGCTATTGTAAGAAGAAAATGGCACACCATTTGAGATGATGCAATTGCCAATAGGCTGTAAGCAGCATTTACTACGGAAGGAAGGAAGGAAGGAAGGAAGGAAGGAAGGAAGGAAGGAAGGAAGGAAGGAAGGAAGGAAGGAAGGAAGGAAGGAAGGAAGGAAGGAAGGAAGGA